TCGGTCAGTGAAGGCAACACTGGCATCCTGGAGATTTCAAAAGAATACATCTTTTTTTTTTTTTAATCTAACAAAAAGAAGGCAGAACTTTACTCCTCGTCTCCCTACACATGTGGGAGATTTTTCCAAAGGCAATAAGTATTCAGTCTTTATTGTTGCCCTCAAATCATTGTGTTTAAGTCTTTGTAGTTTTTTTTTCTCCAGAAACTGAACTCATACTGACCACACTGAAATACTGTGTTTGATGATCTTGCTCACTGGTTGAGTGTGTCATTTTAGAAACCATAAAACAGGGAACAGATGACCTGTTTTTTTTATTATTTTTTTTATTTTGTACAACATATAAGGTCAAAGGGGCTTTAGACAGTTGCTCTGTGGTATAGAGTTAAGCGGGTTAAACACACGGTGCCGTCATGGATAAACTCTTGACTGGAAGAGAGCTGAGTCTGCAAATCGGCTGTTTAGTGTTTGTTGAAACCGTCAGATCATCCCAAATTGTCACTGCCATGAACATTTTGTGTATGACATTTTTTAGAAATGTGGATATCTTGTCGCAAAGTAATTTTTCTTATACAAAATCAGCTGTACAGCCAGTTTCTATGATTTTTCCATTCGTAGCTCAAGCTAAACAAGCATGGATGCATGTTTCATCGCGTTGGATCAGTCAGTTCTCAGTCATCCACCAACGGCTGCTTTGGCATTTTGTGCTGCCAAATCATTCCTCGTTTTTTCGGGAGAAGGAGAAAACTCCTATTTCAGTTTCTGAGTCCACCCTGAGAAGGACTTTGTAAAAAATCCCAAGCAGCTATACATTGTGTGTTTGGTAACCACTGATGATGGGGAGGGGGCAGCAGCCGGGGGGGGGGGCATAACAAAGGTTCTTGGATGTTCTTGCTTTCGTTACCGTGGTGAGAAATGTATGATTCTAGGGAAGTTCACAAGCTGAGCAGTACACTTCGTTTTGCCTGTGATGTTCCTGTAACTTTTCAACTGTGGATTAACAAAACTGTTGTCTTTGCCATTAAATCAGCTCCATGTCTCGTAACACTGGCAAATCCAGCAAAAGTCCTGACAGCAGGTCCATAGTTGGCAGTTCTGCTGTCGTGTTAAGTCTGTGAGTCCACTGAAATGTGTAGGCTGTTGGAAAAAGAGCCTCGTGGTCTGCCTGAACAAAGGGTTGGACAAAGATCACTCGTTTCCCTCAGCGTCTAAGTAGTATCTACTGTATGAGCTCCAGGTTGGGTCTCCACACTCAAGATAATTTGGCCCTTTCTTGTTCAGGGAATTCTAGAGCCTTATTTCTTCTTTCACTCTATTTAAGATATCATGTAACAGGCATCTCCTCAAATCAGAGTAGTGGTGTTATTTAACCAAAGCCATACCTTCTTTGAACTGTTTTTTTGTGTCTCTTCTTTGTTTCTTTTCACTTTGAATGTCAATCTGTATGAATAGTGAGATTCCTCTATTCAAGTCTGACCATGCAAATAAATTCTGTTTTGCTATCATTGAATTTGTGGGGTGGTTTAATTTTGTTTGTCTGTTTTACTAGGAAGCAAAGGCAAAACACAACATAATAGGCCAAAGTTATCTGTCATACTCTGCCGTGGCTTCACTGTAATCAGAGGTTCACTCCACAATTTAGACTTTACTAGATTCAGTTAAGGAAGTAGATGGATAAATCAATCTGAAAGGAAATTCATGGTGTGCAGTAGCTTCACATATGTATTGCCAAAATAAAGGCAATGAGGACCAGAAATGAAAATACACAATACTAAAATAAAACTAAAATAATTTAAATGAATGTTTTTTAAAAAGTGGAATAATGTGAAAATACCCACAGGTTAGGGGAAAATCCTGAAGACTAACAGTTTTGATTAAATATCAAGGTATAAAAGCTAAATCTCATAACATTCCTGGAAGTATTATGAACAAACTGGGTAGTGGCGGTACTTGAAAAATGCTATTTACACACTGCATTAACAAGCCTGAAGAGCCGAAGAAGACAGTTCCCTCTTGTGATTGGACAAAATACCACGTGGTCATAATCGTTGCTATACCAGGAAGAATGACAAATGTTTAATTCCTAACGTTTAAGGGTAAGTCGAACATTTTGGTGTAGACTTTTCAAAAAACGTATTCTTTAAAAAAAATAATTACCGATTCACATTAAATTGAAATATTAAATAAAAAATAGAGTTCGTTGTCGAGTGTAACAATTTTAGTCTAGCCTTAGACTACATTCAATATTTTGAGGGGTTTTGTCGCTCAGCAGTCAAATTAGTCAGTGTAACGGACAATTTTAGTTATAAATGTTAATTTATGCAGAAATGTATATTGTGTGGCGATATTTCGTTTGTTGTTTAGTATGCTGTCATGGTAATATGGATAATATTGTTTATGTTTATGTGTCTGGTTGTTTATCTCATGTTTTTGTTTTACCCATATTCAAATCTAATGTAATGGCTTTGGGCTCAGTTTTATTAACAACTAAAACATGCTAAAACTTGCCTCATCCTTCACACTGAAGTCAGTTTAAAAAGGCCAGTCATTAAACTCATCCCTTACTATCATTTGTGTATTTCATGGTTCTTTTATAAACAGTGTAACACATTAGTGAATCATCAGCATCTGCCCTTAGGTTTCCTGGACGTTGGCCGGACCAAAATGGCATCCTACTTCGACGAACATGACTGCGAGCCCACCAACCCGGAAGAACAGTATCGGCAGAATGCCCTGCTTGAACTAGCAAGGTGAGACCAGCCGCATCCCAGACGCAGCAGAGCCTGGGCTTCGTGGCTCGGCTTCAGCCGCCTGATGTCTCTTTGTCCGCAGGTCTTTAATGCAGGGTTTGGACTTGATTGACTCTGGCGTCTTCGACTTGACGGACTGGGATCAGCGGCTTCCTCCTCCAGCTGCCAAAACAGCTGTTCAGACCCTCACTGTGGTCATCATTTCCCCAGAACAAGCAGGTGACACATGCTAGCTGCAGCCCACTTGTTGACCCCTCAGGCAGTTTGTGTCAGCAGAGGCCATGGCAGCGTTGGGGTCCGGGGCAGAGGCCCGCCTGTTTAGTAGATGAATCCCTGAGTCGGTGACGTCCGAAGAGAGTTAAATGTAACGCTTTATTCTCACAGACAAGGGTCTCAAATGTCCTGTGTGTTTGCTGGAGTTCGAGGAGCAAGAGACGGTGCGAGAAATGCCTTGCAAACACCTTTTTCACGCCGGATGTATATTACCCTGGTTGGGCAAGGTAAAGTTTCTGGTTGGGGAAACCCACAGATGGTTTTGAATGATAAAAAATACTTCCGAATATTTTTCCATTTTTCAGACCAACTCCTGTCCACTCTGCCGACTTGAATTACCAACAGACAATCCCGAGTATGAGGAGTTTAAAAAGGACAAGGCGAGTGTGCACACATCTGCTGGACGACTCCTCTCACTGTCAGTTGGGCTGAATATCGGTTTTTATTCCACCTGACCTTTAGGAGCGCAGAAAACAGAGGGAGCACCGACTGGAGGACCTACACGGAGCCATGTACACATGATGGAAGAGCCACGGAGCCTTTTTCTCCTCCTGAGAGTCCGAGCTGCATTCATGCCATTTCAGTTTGACTACTTTCACATGGATGCAAAGATGTCAGAAATATGTTTTAATGTTTTACATCTACTTTGAGATTTAAAAGAAGAACAGTTGGAATTCAAATATATCTCACTAAAAATATAAACATATATAATATAGGTTTAATCTGTTTATCTGATGTGAAATTCTATCTATAAACGGGCCAGCTTTGGCTGGAATGACTCCAGTGACAGGGCTGTCCTGTTGCCCCCCTTTATTTGATGCACCAGCTTTTGCCCTCGTGTCAATATTTATGATGAATAGATTTTAACAGCAGTACTCTGAAGCATGTTGTTGTCTTGATTTCTTCCTTATATAAAAATGTTCACAATAGGGGCCTCAATCCATCTGTTCTGCTGTACTGCAACATGAATGAAACCTTCCTTTAATCTGTGATGTTTTTCCTCTCAAACACCAAAGTGGAAGTCTTGTTTATTTGATGCACTACATCACATAATTCAGCTCATTAGATGTAGACTCTTTCTTTATTAAAGAAGGTTGTTTATTTTCTGTTCTCCTGCTGGTATTCGTCCAGATGTTTCAGGCTTCAGATTTGCTGTAAAAAAACAGGCTCTCTGAGGGATTTCTTTTCTCCTGTAGAACCACAGAGGGCATCACTGTTCTCCCTGCTGCTCCTCGTGTCCAACAAGTTGACCTTTATGGAAGAAATTGGTGGAGTTCCCCTTTAGTCCGCCTCATGTGCTTCTCTGGTTTGAACAGAGGAAGCATTAGGCAGCTTAACCAACATGGTCTGACTTTTGAAAACACGATTCTCATTTAGACTTTTCTGATTGGCTTATTCTGCATCCAAACTACAGCCGGAACCTGGGAAAAACCCTCCTAGTGTTTCCTACTTATTAAGTTAGGTTTTGGCAGGTGGTGGTACCTAAAACCACCCGCTGCAAACAGCCGTCTCCATCTGCCCTTAACAAAAAAAAAAGCAGAAATGAATGGTCCATGAAAACCGTCTGCTAATAATTTATCATTTTTATTTCAGATTTGAATATAAATCTCTTTCAAATGAAAATACCTAAATGATAGACAAATCATACATATTTACAGAATTTATAAAAGGAAAGAAAAATAGTTTGTGTTGTGTTCAGGGGATCCTGGGACATGTCTTTCATCACTCGGTGGCGTTGCTTTCAGACTTGGAGGAAACGGGAGCGGTGTGTGTCTGTGTGTGTTCAAGACGTGTGCAGGTCAGGCAACCATTTGAAATACAAAACGGCAACAAAAATAAAAACATACAAACGTTTGACAGCTTACTGAAGAGCACATTTGACAAAAGAAGATGTAACATTTGGCATGTGGAGGCTGTGTCCACCCTGATGTGAGGGCTCACCGAGCTGCCGTTTGGAGTCACGCTGTGACCTGATTACAGTGTGTGAACGAGAAGAAATTGAAAACAGTGCAATTCTACCAGGTCACACACCCAAAAGAAACACTCTAGTGGATCTCAGTTGTTTAGTTTTTTTTTGGCAAAGTGTGCAGAAGGACACGGGGTGGCTGCAGCCCCACAGAGCAGAGGAGGCCGGCCTTTTGGACTGAAAGCGGCTGTGATCATGCAGCGGGACGCAGCCACCGTCCTGTGGAATACTTCAATCCTGAAGCCGGACACGCCGCCGCTTCAACGCCTTAAACATCCAACAGGCTAAAGATAAGAGGTAGGAGACTTGACTTTCTTTTAGAAACAGGTATTGCTGGCGTCCGGTTTGGGTTTGAAGAACAGAACATGAAGCAGAGAGCAGAGATCTGGAAGCGTCTACAGAACCCCCCCCCCTGTGAGAAGCTGCTCGGGCTCTTCCACCGGACTTTAGCAGACTGAATGAAGCAAAGGGTTTGGCGCTCGGTTTGAGCTGTGCTGGTTTGTGGCAGTCTGGTTGTTAAATCAGAAAAATGATAAATAAATAAAATGGAAAAAAAACAAAAAAAACCTCAACATGTGACCTCAGTCTGTACGGCGGAGTTTGTGTGTTTATGAGGTTTACAAACACATCTGTCAAACGTCTGAGACAAACATTTCTCTAAACTCAAAAGGCTTCCGAAGGTCCAGCCTGGAGTCCGATCAGAGCGAGGACAGCGATGCTCTAAACACATCAGTCCCGTCATACATTTGTTCCCAAAGCCACGGGGCGTGGCGCGCTTCTTTGCTCTACTAAACGATAAAAGGTCACTCCCACGTGCAGGAAAAGGCATTTTTCCCCCAGATGATGGATGGCAGTTATTGCATCAGACGTGAGATCCACCACGTGTGAGGGTGATTGGAAATGAGAGCAGAACGGAGAAAAAAAACAGGGAAAAAAACGGACAAATAACGTGAAATCTAAGCTCTTTTTTTTCTCAAATTTAGTGCAATCTCCTAAGATAGCCATTTGAATACCTTTCAGAGGGTTTAGGCCCCGCTGGCCTCTTTCAGCCGCTAATACACGCCATTAGACGCCTCTCTGACATTCAGTGTTTACGATTCACTACGCACAAATCCAACATGGCTTCTCTGTTGCTTGGTTTGGGCGAGCCGTGCAGAGATGAGCAGAGAGCCACAGAGGGGAGGGACACGCTAAGCACTGGGCAGAGGGGTCAGGGGACGGGCAAAAACTTTGTGACTTTTAAGAACTTCTCTCATCCATCCAGACACCAGCCACACTGTTAGAAAAGGAAAAAAGCGGGAAACCACCCCCCCCCCCCCCCCCCCTCTCTGGTTCATGCAGAACTACCCGGACAGAACATTCATGGCTCCAGAGCTCAGGCTGGCTCCCTACATTCAGCCCTCCTCCTAAAACCCCCCCAAACCGGGACTGAAGCCGCCTGCTTAACCACAGGCGGAGAAAGAAAAGGTAACGTTACCAATGGTCGGTTCAAAAGTTAAAAGACAGAGGAGCCCCCCCCGGGCGCAGCTACAGCATGGCTATGCTCTCTGGGGTGCAGTTGAGATGTGTGGAGGTGCTGCTCCCCCCCGGGGACTTCAGGCCCTTGGAGGCCCCGCCCAGCGTGGAGCCCCGCGAGCCGGGGCCCATGATGACCCCCGAGGCGTGCTCGCCCTGCTGCAGGCCCGCCATCATGGTGTCGCGGGACACGGTGCCGAACTCGTAGGTGAAGGTGCCGTAGAAGACCAGGATGTCCACGGTGAACACCCACTCGCAGATGGCGGCGGCGTGCTGCAGCACGAAGCTCTCGTGGATGAAGAAGATGCCGCCTGGAGGGGGGGAGAGTCAAGGAGCCCAAACATCACACCACACACACCCCCGGTCTGAGGAGGTGGGGCCGAGCGGGGGCTTCCTCTGGTCAGACCAGAGGCAAAGAGTCAGAAAGGATACTGAACACCAGGGAGATCATGGCCCCCAGGGCCAGGGCCACCCGGAAGTGGGCCATCCAGTAGTCCAGGGTGGTGACGGCCACTCGGTAGGTCAGCACACACTGCAGGCACACAAACAGCAGCCCGGCGGGGAACGCCACGCCGGCCCCCACGTAGTGAAGGGATTTGGCGTGATCCACCTGTGAGAGGGAGACGCACCAGTGTGAGTCCAGACGCCGGCGCCCGCATGTCTGGGTCCGGCGGGCCGGCGTCCTGCCTCACCTGGAAGTTGCCCACCATGACCAGGCCCACGGCGTTGGTGCAGCCGGACACCAGCGCGCTGGTGTTGACCCAGCAGTGGTGGCTGTGCTCGATCACCTGGGCGTAGCGCAGGAAGCACACCATGACCACTGTGGGGGGACAGGAGCGTCAACGCAGAGCTGGAAACAACAGCTAAATAAGTGATGAGAGCAGGAAAGAAGTGGAAACGCGGCCGAGAAGAAAAGCGGACACAACTAATGACTGAACAAGAATGAAATTCTAATCTGACTAATTAGATCAACTTTCTAACTCAAGTTTCATTTCTGTTGGTGAAACTAAAAGCTGCCGGCTAACCTGGTTTGCCGCTAAAAGCTAAACTTCAAGCTAGCATCAGTGAAATACTTTCAATGGGTCTAGAATCTTATTGTGGCCGTCTTCCGGCTGACCTACAAACTGCCCAGCTGAGAAGACCCCAGAAGCTGAGCTCAGCTCGCACATGAGCAGCTACATCATCATTTATTAGCAGGATGCAGTTGGCAGGCAGAACCAGAGGAATGCCGTGCTCACAAACGGGCTAAGCTAGCCGGCTGCAACGCTGACCGCGCAGATGTGGAGGGCGCTTTTAAACGCTAACTACAGAATCAATAACAAACTCGGCTCCTCATCCGGGCGGCGAGTCTCCGTTAGACGGGGATGTAGTAGGAAGAACCGGCTAAATGAAGAACTCACCCATGAAGGCTCCCACGTTGCCGATCAGGCTGAACAGGCAGCTCTCAGGAGGGAAGGAGCCACATTTACTGCAGGACAGGAGAACAAAGCAGGCGTTAAGGAACCTCCAGCTCAGATACAATGTCAAAACTCTCTCTCTTTAGACAGTGTTTGCTTTACCAAGCAAACACAGACTGTCTGTTCCTGCTTTAGAAGACGGAAACATCTAGTTTGGACTTTTTTGCAAACAAGTAAACAGAAGTAAACTCTGCTGGAAAGCTTGAGTGCATGTCTTCTTTCCAAACTGTTAACCAGATTAAAGTCATGCAGCGTGCAGGGTGGATGAGCCAGAGTTCCCCCCCACCGGAACCATCCTGACAACTAACAGATCAGACGGAGGAGGGAGGAGGGAGGAGGGAGGGCGAGCTCACACCTGATGAGGGGGATGTCCTGGATGGTGCAGCAGGTCTTGGGGAAGCCGGGCCGGGGCAGCTCCTCTGTGCAGGTTACGTTGTAGGACCTGTAACAGCCAGACGCAGCGCACTGCTCATCCTGTGCTGGGAGCGCCGTCCGAATAATGAACCAGTTTAAAAAAAACTAAAAAACAAAACACCGACTGCGTACCAGTTCTCCACGGGACAGACGTGGTGATTCATCACGGCCATGGCGTACCTGCAGGACCAAGAGCACCCGCGTCAGCTCCTCACAAAGCGCCCGAAATATTCCCATCACACACAGACGAGACTTTTCCTGGACTGTACAGCTGGCCGCCCCCGTCACTCTGCTAAAAGGCGAGCGGCGGCGGCGGCTCAGAGACTCACACTATCCATATCCCTGTGATGGAGAAGGCAGACAGGCTGACAGGCAGGACGATCCAGGCAGTCATTGGGCTGGCAGTGCGCTGGCTTTGTTCCAAGCATGGGGTGGGAGGGGAGCGTCGGGCTTGATTGGCAACACAGCAGGAGGGATCAGGTAGGAGGTGGGTAGGGGAGCAGGGTCACTAGTACACAGGGAAACACACACGGGGAAGGGGGGCGTAAGAGGAAAGAGAGGGAAATGGCACCGCTCCTCTGATCCACAGGACCCAGCAACCTACGACCTAAAATACGGGGCAATGGTTCCATTAAACACACATACAAGCATTCGGACTGCAGTCATCAAAGCTGGGACCAAATGGGGCTGGTTCTCCCTCACTGTGCTCAATCATTAAATCGGCATTTGTTCCACGTTCCCCTGAATGACGCGGTGCGGCCGTAAGGTGAGCGGAACCGCGCCTTTACAGAGTCAGACAGACTCCGCCGCCTCTCCAGTCTCCAGTCAAAGGACGGAGCAGCTGACAGTCAGCTGACGGGAACACAAACTGTGCGCCGGCGTGGCAGAAAGGGCCGCTTGTCCGCTCGTAAAAAGGCGGCAGGAGGAACAAAGACGGCAAGCTGCAGGAGAGCAGGGGACGGCTGGAGAGGGCGGCGCTCTGGTAGAACAGGCTGGACTCAGGTCATTATCAGACTAACCCGGCAGACGCCACTGTTTACAGTAAAGGAAAACACACAGGAACATCCTCTCCTCCACGCGCTTTTGTCCCATACAGAAACTAAGCAATAGCAGGGGTCTGGGGGGAGTGGGGGGACTGCGCCTTGTGGAGGGCGAGCGCTTCAACAAGGTCAGCGGAGAGCGGGGCGCCGCAGCAGCTGGATCACTTTACACCGGCTACGGTTACAGGTTTGTCCTTGGCCAACAGGGCGAGGCCACACAAACCAACAAGGCGTTATTGTCACCGAGCGGGTTTTTAAATCTCTCTCACCAGATTACCGGAGAACCTGACCTTCGTTTACAGCTACAATAAAGCTTCACTTGTTGGTTGTTGTTGTTTCACTGCTCAGCAGCTGATGCACACGGGAATGGACAAGTAATGCCAAACGCTATGTGGTGGTTACACACACACACACACATTGTCAAACGTTAGGACTGCCATGTCTGATATTGTCGAGAATTAAAACTCTACTCTAGTAGTTTAGACAGTACTTTAGCCGTAATGGTGAAAAATGTGTTCATTTGAAGGCAAATTTATGAGGTTGCTCATGTGTTTCTTCTTATGGGGCAGTTTCAGGCCCAGGAGTGACTTGGTGTCAATCTTCTTGTTTAAAGCCTTTTTATAAAAAACACTTATCACACAGAGCACAGCTTAAGAAAAGACTCCCGTCAATAACTCCTCTGCTGCGTACGTTTAAATCTAAAAGGACTTTAGAGTTTCTGGGCAATTGTATTCATTTTGGCTGATATTTCCTATGTTTTGAATGTTCATTTCTTGCACTTTCTCTTTAACTATTGATGTTTCTTTGTGTGTTCTGGATCCAGGTGGCAGCTCCTAGGACGTTTGTAATGTCTATAAATAAAATATTGTCAGATTTAAGACTCCGAGTGAGTGCCAGGACACGCAGTGAAATTTGTAGATGGTTTACAGCGTCTCGTTAGATCGTGAGGCTTTAAAAGCAACAGCTGTGGTAAGGCATTAAACCAACAAGAAAAGTATAACCGCTCCCACCTGGTTTCTGCATGTTTTGGGTGCATTTCTCTGAAAATGGTGACAACTTGAAAACCAGTGACCTGCGGTTGACTTTACAGCTGTCATAGTTACCCTTCTGCCCCGTTGTGTGTTAAAGGTATTACCAAAAGAGCTAGCATCTTATTAGGAGTATAACACTGTATAATCCAAATAGCAGCATGTTGTTTCATCAGTTGTTAGTGCTGGTGAGTTTGACTACAAAAGTTCTGATGTCACTGTTAAAAGCCTCAGGTTAGCTAGTATTTTCACATGCATACATTTTTGTGATGATCTAATATCATATTTAATTAGTCATACTTCAGCTGTCTATTCTTCCCCAGTCACCAAGGAACAACCAAAAAGCAGGATGCTAATAAAAAGCTGAACTGTGTTTGTGTACATATACGGAGGGAGAGGGGGGCACAACATCCTCATCCCCCCCACTGACATTCCGACCATTTAAACGCCACTGCTCTTAACACAGATGTTTCGCTGTATTTTTTTGTAGACACTCGAGTGTATTCATCCTCTTATTCTAGTCGGCTATTGAGAACAAATTAACTGACTTTATCGGGCAGCTCGGCAGCTTCCTCCTTTGAACCGGTTCACGGTACCGTTTAGCCCCGCTAGCTTAAAGCTAGCCCGCTAGTTAGCTTGTACTTTCCCGGTTCTCTTCACTTGTCACTTCCCTACATCTTTATTTCCGCAAGCTTATGCGATAGACTAATACATATGAAGCGTTTAGAGGTAAAGAACATCTATGATACTTATGTATCTACTGTATAAAAATGGGTTTGTACGTACCTTCCACCTGCTTTGCCCACAGCAGACACCAACAACCTTGGTTTCCTTTTAAAAACACCGTTTTCTAAGCAAATGAAGCTAGTTGTGGAGCAAATATCCGGTCAGCTTTTCAAAATGTAATGTTGATGTTGCTACATTTTAGTTTAACATTACAGAAACAGGAATAGAGCAGACAATACATATTATTTCAACAAAGTCTTTCAATTCCGCTGCAATAGTTTGATATGAATATATATAATAATTTGGACAGCGCCATCTAACTTGACCAACAACTACTTCCTATAAGTAAGCATGAATAAATTGATGGGATGCCCTAAATCATTAGCATTTTTAAGCCATTAAAAGAAAACACACTCACATTTTTGCCTTTTTTGTATAGTTTTATTTCCTAGTATATATTTCTAACATATTGTTATGTGAAAATGGCTCATTAAACCTTTTTACTGTCATACAATCACATAATCTGACATTTTAGTGTAAGTAACTTGACAAAAGTGCTCAGTCCTCTCAGGCCCTGCTGTTCACCACATCTGGATGTGAATAAGTACGATCAGAAGTCCACTCTTTTAATGGCTGTTGAAATTGGGGATCTCAAACTGTGGTGCTCAAAGGCTGCTACCGCAGGTTTGAGATGTTTCCCTGGATCTGCACAACTGATTTACATTGATCTTTTCAAGATGTTTCTTTGTTCTGGAAGGGTCTGTCAGTGGGGCATTGATGTGAACCTACATTTTTTTTTTTAAATACAAACAAAAAAAAACATGCTGGGAACATTTTGTATTCTTTAAAACTACAGAGACTAAAACCAAATGGGCGATGTGGTAATTAAAAAACAGGAGTCTACGTGTATTTCATTCAATCTTTTATTCATTTTTTTTTAAACTTATTGACTGACTCATTTGTGAACCTTTCAGTACATAAGTCCATTCATCCCTTCCTAACGCTTCTGTTGGCCGATCGACTGAGCGCTTTTGGTTGTTAAGGGCAGTCTTTATCTTTACCTCCCAGCAAGTCCTTTCAATTTTTTGTTTAGAAACTCTTTCATTAAAAAAGACAATAAGCATGGGTTTTCCGCTGTCAAGAAATGCTGAAATAAAAGAAAGGCTGATTGTCATGTAACATGTTTGTTAAGAAGATAGCAGGGTAAACATAAAAAAGTCATGACAAAATGAGTACCCACTAATGATGTTTTACATCAACATATGTATTAAAAACAATAGAAAATGTTGTTTGGGATCATTCAGCTGTGATTAACAGAAACAATACATTACAGGAGGATTCTTTAAAGGTACAAGAATCGAAACCTTTATTGTTGATTTACCAATCAGCTTTAAAGAGAGATTAATACATTTAACCCATATCTCTCCTGCAGGAAGCAGCAGACTGGGAGACCAAATGAATGACTTTAGTTTGGAGATAAAAAAAAAACAACACTGTGAGACTTTGTATCACAGTCTGGCCTCAACTGAATCTAATCTAGATCTTTCTGAACTGACAACAGCTGGTGATCACAGGACGAACTGAATGTTCCCTCATTTTCTGCTCACTTAGTCAGTTGTTTGCTTTTGTTAATGGTTACCGTAACTCTGACTCGTTAAGTGGCAATTTTTCTACATCAGTTCACCCCACGCCATGAAAAGTTTGCCAATATTACTAAAAACGAACATACAGTTAGACTGTGAGACGTAAAGCTGAAACTCATCAGCAGAAATGGCACTGTCAGCCATTTTGGTCTTTTATTCCTCCAATGTCTCCCTCTGATTTCCATGATAGCTCCAGCTCATCTATTGCTCTCATGACACACCACACAAACAGGGTCTTAAGTCTGGCAGCTGATCTTAAATATAGCAGCTCCGATTAGTTAAACAGTTAATTAAATGAACTTCTCAGGGGTGGCTGTCACATCAATGAATAAAATGTTACATCAGCCGGGGACTCTACCAGTGTCGTCTCTGGTCAGCTCGGACTGTTACTCCAGATGCGGGGCAATAATCTGACCGCCAGTCAAAGGACTGAGTAGCAAGCAAAGTTGTGTAACAGACAGGCTTTCTTCCCATCAGATCAATTAAGTCTCAAGTCTTAGCTGGGGTAAGATGAGGTGTCACCTCTTAAAAGGTCTAACATTATAACAAATAAAATGGTAACACAGATTGGGGGTTTGGCTAAAGTTGTGACTGAATAACCCTGTAACCCCCACCCCCTCCCTCCCTCCCTCCCTCCCTCCCTCCCTCCAATCAGGAAGTAGGCTAATGCTTAGAGCCCTAGTGTACATTTATGTGTCCACTAGTCCTCCTGTGTTTCCCCAAAGCATGGGAATGTTAAACCAGAGGCAAACAAACAACAGCAACAAAGGGAACGTAAACAAACTGCACTAACAACAGGACAACCAAAGAGTTTTCCATTAACAACCTTCCAACATGACTGGTTGGATAATCTGTAAGGATTTGAAAAAGATTAGTGCATGACATATTGCGCATGCATTCGCGAAATGAATGAAAATAGTTTGATTGTTGTCTATACGGCTTTAAAAATCGCCCAGATTAGTGACAGTTTTCTGACTTAAAATCATGCAGCAGTCCCAACAAGTGGTGAATAATTTACTGGTTATTTGTTGACATGTGCTCCACAGCCCATATCATGTCAGCCAGCAGCTCAGAAGAGGATAATGGTATTTAGATGCCCTATAAGCATGCAGATCCTCTCAGTCAGCAACATTAATGGGGCCATGAGGCATGCTGCTCAAGTCGTTCCGTGCCTAGGTGAAGGAGGTATTAGACAGCAGTAATGCTGGGTGCTCAGAGTGCTCTGTCTGCTGCGTAGCCTGTGGCTGCTCACCATGGGGAGCACCAAGACGGTGGGCAACCTGTGGAACAGGAGACAGAGTCTCTTCTCCAACTACAAAATCACAGACTCGGATGCCAATCGAAGACCTTCAGAGATCGTGTACCCTCTGGCCAAAGAAAGCTGCGTGAAGACATGGAACTCTATGCAAGAGCTGAGCAGGGACATCTACGACATTTATGCTGAGTATGAGGATGAAGAGGAAGACGGTGGTTTGTGCAGCTTCCCCAGGCAGTTCTCGCCCTCCAAGAAGAACTACGTTATCAACATCAATGTTGGGGGGAAGCCCTACCAGATAGCCTACAAGATGGCCGCAAAGTACCCCAAGACCAGGATAGGACGACTGGCCACTTACACAGACCACAACATGAAGCTGGACCTGTGCGACGACTACATCGTGACCAACAACGAGTACTTCTTCGACAGGGATCCAGACGTCTTCCACAGCATCTTCAACTTCTACAGGACGGGTGTGTTGTGGATCAAGGACGAGTTGTGTCCCCGCAATTTCCTGGAGGAGATCAACTACTGGGGGGTGAGGATCAAGAACACCCACCGCTGCTGCCGCATCTCCTTTGAGGAGAGGCAGGACGAGCTGAACGAGCAGCTGAAGATCCAGAGGGAGCTGGAGGCCGAGGTGGAGATCGAAGAGAACGAGGAGCTGTTCCACGACATGTTCATGGGCAACGCCAGGCGAGCCATCTGGAACCTGATGGAGAAGCCGTTTTCCTCGATGAAGGCCAAGCTGATGGCGTTAGCCTCGAGTCTGTTTGTGCTGGTCTCCCTGGTGGCCATGACACTCAACACAGTTGAGGAGATGCAGTACAGAACCCACGCCGGTCAGCTCAGTGGGAAAACCTACTGGGAGTACGTGGAGTCCATGTGCATCGCCTTCTTCACCATGGAGTATCTGCTGCGCCTGATATCCACGCCTGACCTCAGGTCCTTCAGCAGGAGCGTGCTAAACACCGTGGACCTGATCGCCATCCTGCCTCAGTACGTGCAGGGCATCCTGGAGTTCTTTGACAATGAGGAGAACTACATGAAGCACGAGGCCGACATGCAGGCGGTGGGGCAGGTGGGGAAGCTGGGCCAGGTGTTGAGGATCATGAGACTGATGCGAATCTTTCGGATCCTGAAGCTGGCACGTCACTCCACCGGTCTGCGGGCTTTCGGCTTCACCCTGCGGCAGTGCTACCAGCAAGTGGGCTGCCTCTTCCTCTTCATCGCCATGGGCATCTTCAGCTTTTCCGCCATGGTTTACACGGTGGAACACGACATGCCGCAGACCAACTTCACCAGCATACCTCATGCATGGTGGTGGGCCGCTGTGAGTACGATGGGGAAGGATGGGGGGGTCCATCACATGCAGGAAACAAATACGGAGAGATGTTGAAACTAAAGGAAGGCATCTTCAGCTTTATCTGATCTCCTTTAAAGCTGTGAACTCTGTAATGTTCGATTACAACAAACACGATGACGTCAGCTCTGCCTGAGGACATGTCCCTTCATGCCTCTAGAAATCTTTCCAAAGGGATGAGTCAAATTACAACTTCTAAATTTGAAATCAAACAATGGCAGCATTCTGTCCATTTTTTATTCTAAACCTTTGATTCTTCATCATTTACACTGTACAGGCAATTAGTGGGTTTCAGAGTGATTCTGTGTGCCATAAGCAAACCCACTAACCGATGTTCCCCCTCACTCCCACAGCAGATGGTGGAATCTTACTTCTAATCCGCAGGAAGGAGATGATAATCCTTTGAATGATACTAATGTTGATGGTGGGGGGAACTGGGAGGACTGTTAACTGATGTCGTCTCTTGTATTCACCAGCTCTGAGTAACTGAACAGACCACTTCAGAACCAGTTTTTCGACAGCCTGATGTCACAGGGCGGCTCACGCAGCTCTTACTGGATATTTTGGAAATGTAGTCATGGATGGCAGACATTCTCATGTTTTTGAAAAAAAAAAACTTTAATTCTAAGGTTTGGAAAAGTGGAGTGGGATTCTCATTTCAAATGAGATATCCCTCAGCGGAGGCATGCGGTGTTGTTTAAATGTGTTCCTACGAACAGGAAGAGGAAGCACAAAACTGAATGTCTATTCAATGACTAATGACTATAGCAGAGGTTACACATCTGTACTGCATCTATAGATACAGTAATTGATCCTCCTGATGTGAACAATATTCAACTCGAGCATAAAATATTACAACAGAAAATAAATTACAGTGAAGTATCCCTGGATACTAGGATTATAGACAAAAGCAGAGATGCACATGCACATAAACATTACCAGCAAGTTTTAATGATAATTTTTAATGGTGTTTATAACTAATTTACCAACAAATAAGATCATTAAATGAAGATAACATAACACAAAAGAGTACTTACCTCTTAAACTAACCACCCTGAATAATCACATTTTGAATAGCCTTTGCCTTCCTTGAATCACTTGAAACAACTCTAAGTTTGATTAGTGTTACCATTTCTAAGATATGTGTACCACTTTACTACGAGAGAGGATACACAGCACGCTAGTTTATCTGCTCCATATGCAGACATACTCTCATTCAGTCATGTGTGCTGGTATGAATTCGTATCTCTCCGTTGGCACTGACTGCTCTTCTCTCTCCCCTGCAGGTGAGCATCTCCACTGTGGGCTATGGAGACGTGTACCCAGAGACCATCCTCGGCCGCATCTTTGCTTTCGTCTGCATTGCTTTTGGAATCATCCTCAATGGCCTGCCCATTTCCATCCTCTTCAACAAGTTCTCTGACTATTACTCCAAACTCAAATCCAACCAGTACACAGCCTCCATGAAGAAACGAGGGAGGTTGAGATTTGCAAAGAGGACAGGGAACACAATCAGCAACATATTTAAAAACTAAATTTTTCTATCACAATAAGTACCTAATATGCTTTTCTCTAATATTGTGCATTAAATGTACATAATAGGGCCAAACAGACTGAATAGGGGCCAGAGGAAAATCACACAACTAGAAATCTGCTCCTGTAGGATGGCTATTTTTGGAAGAAAACACATAAATACATAACATGGGTCAAAGTAAAATACATTAATATTGAATAAAGCGCACAAAAAGAGGTTTAACAAATATAAATTCTCTACACAGCTTCACACATTATAGCATTCTGCCGCTGAATATTTGTCTTGACAGAAGTATAATTTGGCTTCAGTGAAGCTGACTTACATGTGGTATTATCATTAATCACCGGAAGATATTTCATGTCAAAAGTAAATGACCAACTTTTTTTTTAATGAACTGTGTGGGAAGTGGTCCTTCTTCCATTTCTCAATATTAAAATCTGTTAAATCAACCTCCTAAATCTACACTGCTTACCGAGTGTATCTGCAGTTATTTGTATAAAGTGTTTGCTACACAGGGTTGCTTTGTAAAAAGAAAGTTGCTTTTTTAATTTTCAATTTGGAAATTCAATAGTATTTGCCAACAATGTATGCTGTTCATTACTTTTGTTATGCGTGCAGCTTTGTTTTAAATAAAGGTTTTTCTTGTTGGAACATCAGTCTCATTGAATTTTCTCCTGACAGCAGAAGTGTTCATGTCCACAGATCTCTACTGACCTCTTGAGGATGATGGATGCCAAACAAACAAAAACAGCTTTTCTACTCACAGGTCAATAATGAATCAGCCATAACTCCAAGTTTACACATTTACTTTCTCTCACACAGCCTGGCTATATGATCTTTAATAAGAACACATTTCTGATGCTCTATCATTTTTATGTGACCATAGATGTGTTGTTTAAAACCTGACCATAGTCATTGTTACGAACATATGCTTGTATTTAGCTGGAAAGAAGTAATAGGATGCTGTGACATGTAAAAACACAGTGGATGGAAACTGTAAAAGGTTTGGATGAACTCTAAAAAAATAGTACAAATATCCATAAATGCACCTGAAAGAGTATTATAGTATTTTAAAGGGGAAAAATAAGGTGCAACCCAGTCTAAATACGACACTGTTATTATACATACAAGACTCTCCATATGCAGTACTTTCTATGCTACAATGATGTATGATATGGAGATCTATATTACGTTAATCATTTAATCAAGAGACCTCAATAAAATTAGTTTTTAGTTTTATCTTTGAAAAATAACACGTTAATTAACGTCGTTGTCGCCGTTATGCGTCAGTTAATCCAGAGGGTGGCAGCACCTAAACGCACAGTTTGAGTGGTGCTTCAAAAGTTCAACGAAGAAGAAGTCCTCTCTTCTCCGTAGTCCTCTGTGGTAAAGTGACCTCTGCTGCAAAACAATGGCCCCTCCAGTTGCAGTTTCGCCGTTGATTAAGGTTTGTCTTGTCAAATATACTTTAGAAAATATTACTGCGTCTTTTAAATGACAGGTTAACCTAAAAAAATGTTTATATTCTTTAAGATGAACGCTACATCACGCTAACCGGCTAAATGTTAGCACCGGGCATGCTAGCTAACAGAGAAATGATAAACTGCTATTAATGACTAAATACTCGGGTCAAACTAAGGAACAGTGACAGTTGTGTAGCATTATGGCAAAAACAGTGCACCTGTTAGGGCTGCATGTTTTGACCGAGCATCACCCTTCACTTTATGAATGCTAATAATTAGCAACTTTCACACCGAGTCAGGACTGATAAACGTTCAATTGAAATTATTATAAAACATAAGGCTTTGCTAGATTGCCCAAATCTTGTGTGTTGGGTGAACTCCTTGTTTAAGATATAGTTAATCTGTATTTTAGTTTTTGTCTTTATCATCGACCCCTGCAGCTCGACACAATTAGCCAAATAATTCTGTTTTCACTCATGTGTCCATTTTTCCATTACAGACAGCCAGGTATTCAGCTTTGATTGCTGGCATCATCTATGGCAAAAGGAGATATGGTAAGTAATTTATATACTTTTCATAGGTTTAATTTTTCTGCTGCAGAATACTTCTCTAATAGACTATGTTTGCGATAAAGACTTAATACAAGTTACGATATAAGTCCAATTTGGAATCTGACATTGTATTTGAGAATTTATTACTTCTACTGTTGCATATTTGACTTTCTCCCTGATGTCAGACCGTTTATTTGTAGTCTTGACATGATGAATAGAAATATGTAGCCATATTGGTCTGCCTGCTAAGCATATTTGGGATAAAATCTGATTAGAATCCTCTTGACACCAAATGTTTAGCTACATTTATAGTTGATTTACCTCTTAATTTACCCAGAAAACCTGAAGCCCATCGCAGCAGAAGAAAGAAGGATTGAGGAGGAGGAGAAGAAGGTCCGTGAGGAGCAGGAGCGCATTGCCAAGCAGCTAGCAGAAGGTAATGTCTTCATGCTGAATAATATCACACATTCAGCCTCCATTGCAATAACAAAACTAGCTCAAACTGTTTTATTTCTCCCCCCACAGCAAATGAAGACACCATTCTGAAGTAAAATGGGAGTGATTAAAGAGGATTCCCACGTCCATGTGCAGTCTCCAACCTCCTCCTCCAGTTTTTTTGGAGTAATGATGGCAATGTCGGGCCAGTCAGACAGGACACGCTCACTGTTCCTACCCCTCTTGAATGCCACAGTCATTTTGTCTGTAACCTGATATGAAATACTCTATAACTCCGCATTGTATAACCTCAAATCCAGCTGCACTCATAAGTTATATTACCTTGATGTTTGTAATGAAGCAAAGATGCAAATACAATAGATACACAATCGATGTAGTCTTTGCCTTTGTTTACCAGCATGCGATGTTTGATTCTATTCAGCATTACAACTTAGGGGGTGACAGAACTTCAGATTTGACATCTCGCTCACAAACACAGGCCCTTTTCCTAAATCCAGATTTGTGTTTGTTGCTCAAATCTCCAACTTAGATTTTGTCCCAATAAAAACATGAAAAATCTGATTTAGAAAGTCTTTTTTTTAAAGAAAAATGTGCAAAACTACCAGTACTTAAAGTGAGAAAACCAGTTCATTAGGAATCAGTTGCATTTATTTATTTCTTGAAGAGTTCTCTTTAGATTAAACAGACTTAATGTTATTTGTAAGGGAATACTTTCCTGGATAAACTAGATTTTGTTTGAGATCTGCATGATTTATAGCTAAAAAGCTGGAACTCTTTAAGAAAATTAATATAGCATCTGTATTATTTTTTAGAGCACTGTAGAGCTTGGCATAATGACATCACACTTTAAGAGAGCACCAACTTAAAATGTTACAGGTAAAGAGAGCAAAGTTTCACTTTTTCATCTGTTGTAATTAATCAGACATTTAAGATTGTAGTTTTATCAATTAAAAGATGTGATCTGCTTTGATGTATTTGGAATAAGAATACTGTAAAATTAAACTGCCGTGTAGTAAACTGCTTCTCCTTTTACTTTAAATATGACTCATTTCAGCATTTATGAATGGGAATACACTTTTAAAGTAGCAGTTACAAAGAAGCCTGGCGTTGAATCCATAATCCATTAAAAATCCATTAATTTCCACTGTATTGTAAAGCTCTCACAAAATAAAATAAAAAAATGTCAATAAAAAAAAAGAAAAAAGTTCTGTATGTGCAGCATATAAACTTTTAAAATTAAGTTTTAAAGTTAAGTTTTCTGTGCAGGCCACTATGGTGCATGAACACATTGTTAACACACATGGTCATAGCAAATGCTAATATTCATACTCATTTATCAAGTGGACAAAAAGGTGCGGCAATGTTATCAATTGACACTTTGTGCTTTAGACAACAGTCAAACAAGAATTTGAGGAGGGAGAAAAATGGGTGCAACTATTTGATGCCATTAAAAATGTACCAGTCATTGGTTTTTCATCTCCTTTTGTGCCTCTGTTCACAAACATGTTAAAAAATAAACCTACCCCCTGTATAAATGAACTATCATTTCAAATAGATGAGGTCCTAACACCAAATATCGGAAAAGTAAGTGTAAATTACATGTTGATGTGTTGGGAACAAGTTCACTAACAAGGCAAAACAAAACCATTTGCTTTCTGTTGCTTTGTAAAAACAGACCTTGGAGGACCGTACGAGGGTTAAAAATAGTTCAGTGTTTGTTTTTTTCACCGCATTAAACAGAAGTCTGCCATTTCCAGTCGCCCCATTCGGGAAAAAGCGGTTCAGAAAATGGATGGATGGTTATCTGATAACCATTTACAATGTAGGTTTGAAAACATTTACTATATAGAATTTAAAACACTGCATTTGATTGAATGATTGTATATTTACATCCTCTTGTTACACAACTGGCCCGGCTCGTACACGGCGACCTGATACGACTTCAGACCAGATAAGCTCACCTGCAGCCACGTGCTGCCGGATCTCTAAAGCCCACTTCACACTTTTCAGGGCAGAGCTGCAAAGTTAAGGGCCCGCACATGGCCGGACAGCCAGGGCAGGCGCACACGTCAAAGCACACAGGTCTTACCTTAATACAAGTAAGTCTTACCTAATATCACCAACAGCCCGGTATTATTAGCCCAGCCACAATGAGCGGTGGGAGCCAGACTGTAAATGACAAACATATCCTCTTACACACTATGCCTCTGACAGCACTCACTGAGCAGATTGTGTCTTATTTAACCAAACAGGTGACAGCAGATGGAAACACCTGAGCTTCTACTGATACGAAAGCGGGACATCACTCAGGGATATTTTCATTGAGGTGATTTCCCTCTTTTTTCCATCTCCGAGTACTTTAACTGACCATATTTAGCTCATTTGATACAAAAAACTGACGCCCAAATTTAAACAAAATAGGCACAACAAATTAAACAAACATGAAGTGGAAGTCAGTCTATTTGTGGCCGAACGGCAGGGGGCCAGAAAACAATGTATCTGTCCAACTCAGACATGTTCTGTCGGTCTAAATGGATTTCAAAGAGTTAAAATGGTGAAACATTTCTGTCAACAACCACCAGGACCAGGTGAATGCTGCTTTTTAAATACCTTTCTTTTCCAAAAGGAAGCAAAAAACTGAAGTCTTTTCGTAAACTTCTCAAGCCGGCTGCATCACACCTCAGCTGAGTGTGAGTCAGGTGGGTGTGTGACATGAGGCTAATGCCATTGTCTTCAGCCGGTACAAACAATTACATAAAGCCCAAACACTGCTGAATGCCAGGCTTCATCAGCTTACAGCCGAGGATTTTCTTAACTGGATTAACGTTAGATTTAACTCTGCATTTAGTTTCTAGAAGTGAAAATAATCAGAGAGGCTGTCTGGGCTCTCAGGTATAAAAGGCTCCCACTGCCGGCTGCTCAGCACCGCTCAGGCACCCATTTCTCTGCTCTGAACACTCCCCGAGGATCCCATCTACGCTTCAGGTAAGGACGAATTCTAACAACCAGGGGAGACTTGTTCGAAATATATATGAGGACCGTTTGACAAACGTTTGAATAGGAGCAAGTAAAAACGGGATAAGAGGGCTGCATCTACTGCTGTAAATGGAGAAGAAACAAGGCTCTAAAGCAGGATAACCATGTTTTGACTCGGGTTTCTCCTAGAATGGACTTCCAGATCTTTGCCCTGCTCATGCTTGTGCTGGCCTGCGTGGAGCAAGGCCTGGCCACCTGTGTGGTGGACAGTTTCACGGTCAAGCAAGACTTTGAACCCCAAAGAGTGAGTACAAAACAGCTTTATTTAAATGCTTTTAAAAAGGGTAATAAAAACTCAGACTTCATCCACCCAGAAAAATAGTCAGTGGTGTGGAAGCTAAGTCATTTTCAGCAACAATGCAGCTTTGGCATACAGAGAAGTAGATCCTGGCGATTTTAATTCTCAGGAATTTCAGAAACTTTAGAAACACGAAGCAACCGGAATCTCATAGTGCGGTTTATGCTCAGATCTGTGAACCAAATGCCTGTGAAATACTAACTCTGAGGTTCTCTGACAGTATGCGGGAAAGTGGTACGCTCTGCAGAAGAAAGACCCCGAGGGCCTGTTCCTCCAGGACAACATATCTGCTGAGTACACCGTTGGGGACGACGGGTCCATGGTGGCCTCCTCCAGGGGCAGGGTCACTCTTTTTGGGTGCGTATTTTTTTCTCACGCTCCCGGCTAGAGTTTGAACATGAACAAATCCTAAATATCCAAACGTAACTTTCCTCTCTCCTCGCCTCCAAGCTTCTGGGTAGTCTGCGCAGACATGGCTGCTCAGTACTCAGTGCCCGACCCCGGCACTCCGGGCAAGATGTTCATGAACTACCAGGGACTGGCCAGCTACCTGTCCAGCGGCGGTAAGCCTGACCCTCCGGCCGCGTATGTCCAGCCTTTTTCGGTCCAGCTGAGACTGACTTCCTCCTCTCTGCTCGTTCCAGGCGACAACTACTGGGTCATCGACACGGACTATGACAACTACGCCCTCACCTACGCCTGCCGCGTGCTGAAGGACGACGGCAGCTGCGAGGACGGCTACTCTCTGGTCTTCTCCCGCAACCCCCGAGGCCTCCCCCCGGCCATCCAGAGAGTGGTCCGCCAGAAGCAGGACGAGATCTGCATGGCTGGACAGTTCCAGCCCGTGCTGCAGTCCGGTACGTCCCTCACACTCTCTTCCTATAATGCAAACGTTTCAGCTGGTGCTCCAACGCAGGAAAATGACTCAAACACCTGATCTTTTTTTTTTTTTAACAGGAGCCTGCTGAATAGGCTTTTAAGCCGGAGCTTATTGAGCAGCCTGCCACCGACGGCCGATCATTACGCCCCAAATGACGACACGGCTCTTCACAAAGGGAACCAAACCAGCTCACAATTCGATTCGCTCCACTCATAGGAGTGATTTGTCCGTGTTAAAAAAAAAAGAAAACAAATCATGTAAACCTGCCATGGTGGGTAACACTGCATCCACCTGTGTTGCTGAAAATACATTTTGTAAAGAAACTTGGCATTGTCCTTCTTTTGGAAGCCTTCGGTGAAACAAGCCAGCAGAGCTTTTCTTTTTCTGGTGCTCAGATCAAAATGTGAGGCTGGGGAAAGCTCAGTCCACAGTTAGCTGACCGGTCTGTTAAAAAGGTATTTCAACCTCAACAGACACCCTCTAAAGATAAGACAAATAGCCTGGACAGGCTTTAATGCTCCTCGGAATACCTCTCCGGCAGTGAATATGGTCCTGGCCTTCCCCAGTAGTCCACAGCCCGAACCCGGTACAGACCTCCCACCTCCTGGTCCACTACGGAACACAGCAGAAGATAAAGTACAGCTTATGTCTCAAAGTCTTACCGCTGTGGGTTTATAGCTGTTCTGTCAGGATTTTGGTGGGGATTTTTACCTGGTGAATGGACGTAGGAAGTAAAAATTGTGTCCCGGTTATTTATCCGGCTGAACAGCTTCTCATATGAGGAGAATTCTACCTCGAAAGTCTTGATGCATCTAAAAATACAAATGAATAAATCATGATAACTTGTTTCCTGATGTCACCTGACATTTAAAACATGTGTTTTTACCTTGAATCCACACAGTGGTCCGACCACAGAATGAGAACTTGGCCTTTGTGGATCCTGATGAAGCGAAGCCCGTTAACCTAAAGAAACGTTTAAATCAAAATGGCCAAAGCTCAAACGCCTACACGACTTAGATGACATTTAAGGAACTAATCAGCATCATTCAATCAAATATAAATCTATGAGATAATGAAACAAGAGCAGCTGGTTCTGACCTGGTCTGGCGCGGCTTTTGGCTGAGCACAAACATGGATGAGGAAAACGGAGGGCACGGACAGCCTGACTTTTAGGGTTAGAGTGTCTCCTGGAGGAACTCTCCAGGGTCCATCCACGCGAGGGTCCTGAGGGGAAGGCACAGCATCAGAGGCTAGAGCATATTCCACAGCTCTAAACACCTTCCACCACGATACAATGTGCACACTTCAAGTAATTGCTTGCTAGAATATTTCAAAATACCACAATGTGTGTATTGAAGCATTTTGCTGCACTAATTCTGAACAAAACTGGGTTTATTTTTAGTAAGGATGAATGCTTCACACCAACCAGCTGAGGGACCATTTACTTCCAGATGTGTCCAAAATCACACTGCGACTCTAAAGGTGTAAAATGCCATTACGTTGATTCTGATGGTTCGAAATGTGACTGCATATGAATAGTAATAATAACAGTGATGGGGGGGGCATTCTTTTGTGTATCAGGTCGTACCTCTAGACTCCTGAGGTGTCTGAACTGCTCGGCTGTGGGGTAGTCTGGGCTGCCCATGCTCTGCCACAGCTGGTATGGACTGCTTACATTATTGTCCATGTAGTATGTGACATACAGAAGACCTGATGAAAAAACAAACATGAACTCACACAGTCAGGCATTCGCGCACTCAAATAAAGACGGACTGAATGATTTTTCGAACCGGACTTTAACGGAAAGCCAGCGGCAGTGGTGTGTGGCTGGACGTACCCTCCTGCCCAGCCAGTCCGTTCACAGCCACGGTGACGTTGTCGTGGCTGGTGCAGGAGGAGCTGTTGTCGTCGCTGTTATAGACCAGCACCGCTGCCCGCCAGCTGTCCGAGCCGCCGGACATTACAGGCTCGTGGCTGCTGGCCAGAACTCCCAGGGTGGTGTTGTTGTCGTTGTACCCTCCGGTCGAGTTCAGGACACGAGCCAGAACCTGGGTCTCTCCTTGATTTAGAGAAAACGTACAGCATGTAGAATCAGATGGAGTCAAAAACATCTTTCCTCAATGAAGACGCCTCCTTGAGGCCTGTGTAGGGATCGTCACCTAGCAAAGCTAACAGGCCCATGACGGTGAGGACGGGCTTCCTGACCAGCTGGACGTGAGGGGGCTGGGTGTTGTTGACCTGGAAGCGGGCGGTGAGCGTGCGCTGGGTGAAGGGGTGCGGGTGGTAGCTGAGGAAGGCGTTGTCATTGCTCAAGAGGGTGTAGTTGATGGTGCTATTTGGGTTGGCAAGCAGCAGATTCTGATGCTGGCTTATCACCTGTTGGAAAAGCAGATCAGACCTTTCGATTCAGCGTCTGTTCAGAGTCCAAAGAGAATTTAGTAAATTGCTGTTTTTGAGAATAGCTCACCTTCACCACCATCGCAGCGTAGGTCACATCAGCCCTCCACTCCTGAGGCCTGGACCACCCCACCAGAGGATCCGCCTCATCATTGTAAACAGGAAGGCTGCGGAACCTGGGAAATCGCTCCTGGATTTCCCCTACCGTCTGGATCTCCTGCTGGAGGATGGGCAAAGAGCAGCCTCCTCCCTGCAGGATAGAGACAGACAGTCAGCATGCCCTGGCTTCAGAATAGATGAACTTTTCTCCAGTCCAGAGAAACTCACCTTCTTGTGCAGGGCGATGTAATCAATCCTGACCCCCGTCTCTCCGGTGAAGAAGTTGGAGCCGTTGTGGCAGTGCTGCAGCATGGCCCAGCAGTATGGAGAGTGGGGTGGTGAATGACAAGAGTCTCCCGGGCCTCCAAACCTCAAGAGCCGGCTGGCAGCACGCAGCCCCTCCGAACAGGCATCGTAGTAGTTTAAAAACCCTAACATTAAAGCGGGTAACGCTGATGACATCGCTGATACGTTCACTGAAGTAGCAATGATCCCAAAGCTCAGAATTATGTTGAGCAGGTTGGATGTTTTTAGGTTAGATTTGTCACGTCATATGATATATACAAAGACCAGGAACTTTTCCTCTATCAGAAATCCGTCCAAAAAAAAACTGACATAGTATCGATATAATACTGAGAATGTATGGTATTTTGGTTTTACCCTGAATTGACATGGTGACGTTATCAAAGTCGTGGTTGTTGGGTTCATTCCATGTTTCAAAGTTCCATCGAGAAACACTTGCCAGTCCATATTTATCTGAAATTAAGAATGAACAACGAGGATATGAACAAAACGGGAAAGAATCAAACATTAATCCTAATATGTTTGCACAACTACACATTTTGCTACAAACTTTGCAGAAGACGTGCACGTATGATGGACAGACACACTGACCAAACACAGGAACACTACTCACCGATGTACCTCTTGGCTGTGAGATAAACAAAGTTTCTCCACTCAATAACTTGAGACTTGTCCTCAAAGTCAGTGAAATATTTTGAAACACTGCCCATCAGTTCAAAACCTGCAAAGTGCATCTTTTAATGGTTTTGATTATTCCAACAGTCATGTACGAACCAAAAGACAAAGATTACTCTGGAGTCATTTCAGTGACAACGTGGTGTGTTTGGAGCTCCGCACCTGGCTGAAGTCCATTGATCCAGAGTAGTTCTATCAGCTCATCCAGTTTAGTGAAATTATAGTGGGGCTTTCCGCCAATATCTCTATACAAAAATAAAATAAAATCACTCTCTGGTTATTCCACATGAGACTACTAACAAAATCATGAACTCATATTGGACTTGATTGCATTGTAACAAAAGATAAATCTTTCATATGATTACACCTTTACAAGCGTTGACAGGCACAGCTTACGATATGTCTGTGATTTACATTCTCCTGACAGGTGACTTACTGTGAAGTGACAAGCTCCAACATCCAGTGGATCCTAACCTGCTGGATCCCCCCATGAGGGACTGAGCCCAGATAGGCCAGATTCAGCTTCTGGTCAACGCTGAGGTCAAACTGATCGGCCTTGGAATGAGGGAGGGGAGGGCTGCACACAAAATAACCCACATATGATTAAATTAAAGACACAAGCTTCTATACTAAAGTGGCAAAAAGCTATAGACTAAAAATAAATGAGTCATGTGACAGTAATCATGTTGCCGAATACAGATATTACAGTTGCTTGACAAAAACTATGAAAATGTTCGTTTAAAAACATCCAGAATTGTAAATATCTCCGAGTCAGTGGCCGTAAAATATTTGCTTGCTGCAATATTTGAAAGTTCCTCAAAGTAGTGAATACCTTTAGTTATATTCGGCATTAAAAAAAAAACACCAGGTCCCTTTCAGAGTTTATTAAAATCTCCTTTTTCGTCTCGCATCTAACGAACAGCACTGCTCACTTTGTACGAGTACCTGAGTTGATCGATTGTATTATACCTACCAGAAACCACTGCTTCTCCAGAAGTGTTTCAGAACTCTCTCTGGTCTTCCCACATCAACTGATATAACATAAGACGTGCCTGAAGTTTTGGACAGGAGCAAAGCTAGAATACAGAAACTTATCCACATCATGGTTGCGATGGGACATAGCAACTTTTGGTGGCGGGCTAGCTTAATTTAGCTACAGTCAACCGATGAACGAGCACGGGCTCGACGTGTCCGACACATTCTGTGTGTGAATAAACTAGGGAAAATAGTTTTTTGACAATTTGACTACACAAAACAAAAATACAGCCAGCTAGAGGTAATCGGCTGCTGCAGTCATCACCTGCGTAAAATGACGTCATTTACATGCGACGCTGCTGTAGTCTTTTATGGAATTTAGAGTCTTCTTACCAAATAATTTAAAACAAACCCAGGCAGATCTTATGAACAGTTCATTGACTAAGTTATTTTTGACATTATAAAGTAAGCTTAATGGGTCAATTTGTTTTCACTTTTGGTACTTGTTTAGTTTGATGTGGAATCACATTTTCTCCTTGTACAATATGACAAAATCTTGTGTCTGATGTTTTCTGACAAAAAAACCCAACCAAACAAGGAGCTGTTAATGGGACATTTATTTAAAAATAAAAAAAGAGTGGGAGAATCAAGAAGGCATGAAAAGAAAAAATTCAGATGTCATTTACACTTAACTTGAGGTTACTGTCAAACAGCAACAGTTATACACAACCATTTATACAACCTGTACAAATATTTGTTTTCGCCACAAATTTGCTATTTCAATTCAAAATAACTTAAATAGGTTTCTATGTAAAAGTGCAAATCCTTATGTGTGAATGTCTGTAAATAAGACCATGGTGGTGCCATGCCAGAAGGGTGGTCGGCTTTAAGCTGTTATTTGTAAGCGCATTTTAACGTCTGCCTACTCTACTGTATGGAGCCCAGTCATATGTAATGCTTCTATGTTCAACAGCTTCATTATGAGTTATTATGATGTTTTGTGTTGCAGTGCTGAGCACGCATCCTCCCTCATGCAAAACAAAACTGTAATGTCCATAAGCTGGTCTCAAATTTTGTATCTGAATAAAACCACAGAAATAAAAACCGCAACAAACAAAAAAAAAAAATGTAACAGTTCAGTGTTTGTAGAGTTCTTAAGATGACAGTTTGTAAGTATTACAGCATAACAACAACATACTGTTAACTGTGTGGTAGTGTTATTGATTTAGCATTAAAAATCACAGTAACCACAGGCCAGTCTATACAGGATACGCCCCGGTCTGGTGGGGTGGTAGTAGTCCACAGGGTTCAGGTTTTCATGGTGAGACAGCGTGGGCATCTAGATGTGAGTAAGGATGGAGCAGGGGTGGTCGGTGAATCTCCACAATCACGAGGCACGAGGAGACGAAGAGCGGAAATGCTAATAATGCTTCAAAGTCTCAACGAACAATCTCCCAATCGGTGAGAAGGGGAGCAATACTCAAAGTACTAACCCACGCACGCTATTGGGCTTCACATGCTTTTGTATGGACATGCAGCCGATGCAAAAGAAAACCAAAACTAAATGTTATCACCATGAGTAGGAGAGTTTAGTACAGCATCTCTGCTCATGACGCACTGGTCACCATGGGTTCTACTGTGCAAGCGACTGGAAATGTGTCTGGTAACAAAAAGGGTGTTCAGGCATTTGCAATTCAAAGGACAAAAATAACGAGCGTGGAGTCCTTATGCCAGTGTGTGCAGTGTAAAGTAACTATGACTTCTGCTCCGCCCCCGCAGCAGTCTGGGCTGCGCTCTCTGGTTTAAGGATCTGATAGGTGATGAGGTACTCTGGGTAGGCCTGGCAGAAGAAGAACAAAAAGCATCACTCAATGTCACACAGAGTAGGTCTAATGTGTTTGAGTTGATATTACGACTCATGCAGGACACAGGGACATTTAGCCTGGATGTGCGTTTACCTGCTCTCCTCTGTAGATGACGTACTCGGCATAGGCCAAACCGTTCACACTTGGCCGCCCTATTACTGAATGATGTCCCGGAGGGGCATGGGCCATCTTCATGGCACTGAACTGCAGGAAGGACTTCCCCAAAGTCACTCGACAGAACAGCATTTGCCTGAAAGTTCAGATGAGATGAAAGCGATAACACCCAAGTGCCAGACAGCAAACAAAACAAAAACCAAACCAGCTTTATGTGTATTTTTTTAGTTTGAATCGCACTGTGGTTACGTTACCTGTGGCACAGGTAGCATGATCTGTCCTTGTGTGTCGGGCATCCCGTGCCTCCACCGATGCCGTAGACGTACTGATTGCTCTTTGAGGAGTTCTCTGCAAAGTAGATCCCGGCACCGAACATCCCTCCTATGTAAGCATGGCGCTCATCAAAGCCTTTGTGGATGATGGCATTAATGAATGGAGAGCCTGGGGGAAACACGATAGAAATCAGCACTCAAAACGACACTACTGCAAACAGACGGCAAGTTTAAACCCACAAAACACTGACAATGACCCAGCTGGTGAATCGATCAGACTGTCTGCGGTTACCGTGAAACAACATGCGCTCGTTGTGATGGTTGTGGTTCTCATCAGCGATCTCCTTCTGCCGGTGGGTGTAGCGCTCCCTCAGCTTCTTATTTACCACCTTTTGAATCTGTGTGGCACAGCATGAAAAGAGACAAAGATTCGGTTGAAAATCATTTCTGCCTCAACACAAGACAAATCAAACTCCAGCCTGCATCAAAATGAATAGTAATACCTTGATGATGTTGTATCTGCTGAAGACTCCACCTGCATTGCCTCCATCTCTGTGCTCCCTGATTGTGCTCTGCATCTGATGGAACAAAACAACAAGTCGATTCACTGTGATGCAACAAGCCACCGCTGCTGTACCAGTGAGGAAGCCATAAAGACAGATTTTTACGCAGAAAAAAACTTAATAGGTGAAATAGCTGAGCAGTACCTCTTCTTCCACAGACTGGTACTCTTTGTCATCGGGGGCGAGGTCTATCAGGATGGTACCCTGGCTGGCACAGTGGAATGTGAGGTATGGGTTTGCACCTGCACAATGAGAGATTCCGTAAATGATGTTGGACTTTGAAAATCGCCTGACCGAGAACAGCTCATTTGGTAAAATGCTCCCTTACCTTGCTGGCCGCCCAGCAGCCTCTCAACACCCTTGATGAGTTTGTGACGATGGCCGTACGCGTTAATCCCAATCTCCTTCAGCTCTTCGTGGCCCATGTCGGCCAGCACGTCCAGGGTGATCTGTGACCAGAACCACATTACACCAAACAAGAACAAGAGACCCCACACGTTCCATCGGCCTTCTGTTAACACAAAAAAACAGGAGATGTTTCTCCAAGAAAAACTGTACTACTGGTCACTCACCTGCTCCCTCTCAAAGATGTCCCTCAGGTGCTCCAGGCCCAGGCTCTTCAGGAACTGACTGATATTCATGTCCAGCATTGCCACTGTGAAAAAAACATCACATCAGGATGCAACCAAGAAGAGCTCCCCTGGTTTTCCTGTGTCAACTTTTGCCAAATTTAAAAGACCAACAGAGTTTTGTAATCAGTGAAACACACTCACTTTCCCCTTCCTTGCGGTCGGTGCCTGTGGCGCCATCTGCCACTCCAGAGCTCCCGGCGGCAGACGCGGAGGCAGCAAGCTCCGTGAGGGGCCCTGCCAAGTTGTCTATGCTGCTGGCAGCTGACAGACAGGATGGCGTGGAGGCAGGGGAGATGACGGAGGCGCTGACCACCGTGGCCTGCGGTTTAAAGCAGCTGGGCAGGGCATCGGGCGGCATGGCGTCCATCAGCAGGGCTCGGATATCATCAGCCTGCAGACAGAGAAAACAGACACGTTTGTCTCGTGTGGCCGTTGGAAATATGATGAGTCTAAAGCTGGTGTGATAAAGCCCAACACGGGTCCTTACTGTGGCCAGGTCCAGGGCAGTCTGGCCCTCCTGGTTCTTCATGGTGGGGTCGGCTCCGTGAGCCAGCAGCAGCGCGCAGAGCTGCGTGCGGCCTTTCTGAGCTGCTTCGTGCAGGGGGGTGAAAGCCCACTTGTCTGTAGCATTCACACACGTGTTGTACTTGATCAGCAGGGCTGCGATGTCCACATGCTGCCAGGAAGAGAAACAGGAAAGCAAGTCAGCTCTGAAATCCTTGAAAACAACTCAAAAACTGAACGCATTACAGCATCAGGGAATTTTTTAATTTCTCTTATTCAATTTTCTAATTCAAACTCCACATAATCTGGTATCTAGTGTGTTTATCCTACTGAAACTGACCCCATAAGAAGCAGCATTATGAAGAGGAATGAGGCCTCCTTTGTCCTGGGCGTTGACATCAGCTCCATGCTCCAGGAGGTACTCTGCCACCTCCAGGTTGTTGTAACCAGCTGTGAAGAGTGAACGGGATCCCCAAAAAATATTATTATTGTTACCTAGTCTTACTAGGCTTTCATATGAAAATAAAGCGTGAAAAACATTTCCTTTTGGAGTGTCTTTAGATAGTCTGCATCCCGTACCTGCCAGGTGCAGCGGGGTGGAGTTGCGGCCCTGCGCGTCTCTGCAGTTGATGTTTTCCGGGGAGCAGAGCTTCTGCACTCGGGCCAGGCAGCCCTTCTTGGCAGCATCCAGCAAGGCAGCGTCGCCCCGCAGCAGGTCCTGGATGTCGGTGTCTCCATCTTTCACCATGTCCAGGGGAATGTTGCCGTCGCGGTTCTTCTTGGTTGGGTCGGCTCCGTGCTGAAAACAAAGAGAATGAAATCAATTACTCCATAATTTCAACCATTTTATTTGACTCTGTAGCTTTATGGGTCAGTGTGTTCCATTTTGTGCTCTCATTTCCACTGCTTACACACTGTGGGTCGTTTAAAAAAACTATTTTGGAACAAATATTTCTATCTCATGTCTCAACAACCACAACTCAAAGTTTTAAGCTCTCAATATCTGACACAGTGAAAAAAGGCATGGCATAATATTGAGAGGGAGACAGAGGTGTAGTCCCAAAACGATCCTCTTGAATAAGGGTGTAAATTACCGGAAAAGGAGGGAGCTGCTGTGGTGACATTCTATGCTCCTTTCACCAAATTATGTTCCAGACAGTTCATTTAGACCTCAAAAAAGGAGTGTCAGCTTGTGAACAAGACGAGAATAGCTCATCCTTACTTTCAGAAGCAGTTTGCAGATCTCGTATTTTCCTTTGGCTGCAGCCTCGTGAAGTGGGGTGAACTTCCAAAGGTCTGCCACGTTGACCGAGGCGCCGTGTCGGACCAGCAGCTCAGCCACCTCGTAGTGCCCATAAGAGCACGCGTTGTGGAGGGGAACCAGACCACTGAGGGCGGACAGCAGGAATCAGGGGCCCGTGCAGCAAAATGTACTAGCTTAATTAATCAAAATGCACAGTTTAAGAACTCACCCCTTGTCTTTGGCATGAACGTCGGCTCCATGGTGGAGAAGGTACTCAACGACGGCCACTCGGTTGTAACCAGCTGCAAAGTGGAGAGGAGTGGAGTGGCGGCCCTCCAAGTCCCTGCAGTTTACGTTCTGAGGGGTGCACAGTTGCTGCCACATACAAGAAAAACGCTGTTAGAAGCCATTTTCCTAAGAGTTATTATTTTTTATATTTTAGAAATCAGAGACAAACAAGCCCTGTTTAATTTCTACAGCACGTACCTGTAGACAAAGGAACTGGGAACTTACTTGCACCGTGTCCAGATCCCCTGCTTTGGCAGCCTCCAGAAATCTGTAGTCCACATCAGAGTTACGAGTGGGCACATTTTCTGGGGAAGAAGAACGATGAAATTCAACACAAAGAAAAATACATTACAATCCAGTCACTGCAAAACAGGACAACAGCTTAAAAATGATTCCCACAATAGGAATTACAAAAAAACTATTGAGGAAGAGAAAAAAAACAAAAAAAGGGTGATTACCATTAAGAATCTGCTGCACGGCCTCGTTGCCCATCTGAGCGGCGGTGAAGCCCTGCAGGGACACGATGGAGGGGTCGGCCCCGTAGCTCAGCAGCAGCTTGCAGGTCTGGATGTGTCCAGCCAGCGCTGCCCTGTGGAGGGCCGTCTGACCGAGTGTGTCCACGGCGTTCACCTGAGGTCACGAGAAGAGAGCTGAGCAGCAGCAGTAGCACATTTCACTTTAAAAAGATTATAATTCCCCTTTATTATTGGAGGGAGCGAGCATGAAATGTATTCACCTTCGCTCCATGTTTCTGAAGCACCTCAAGGATATCATTGTGTGCTCTCTCAGCGGCGACATGCAGAGGAGTCATGAAGCTAAAAAAACAAAACAAAAAAAACATGACCATGTCAACAATTAAAAAAAATATGCAAAAGTAATCTCCGTCTTATTCTCATTTGTTTTCGCAAAGAACATTAGTTTCGCCACTTTGTCTAACTAATATGAAGCAACGAGGACTCACTCTTTGTTCTTCTCGTTAATGTTGGCACCCTTACGGAGCAACAGCTCAGTCACCTGCTTTCTCTTTGGGTGGGGCGACGCCACCGCACAGTGCTGGAATACAAAAGAAACAAACAGAAAATTACAAAGACCGTCTCAACCCGCTTAAATCCACAGCTTCTGTAGTTCTGTTCGTGTTCACGGCGCCTTCAAATGTCAAATTGAATTTCAGAGACAACTCAAGTCAAAAGACTCAATCTGACCAGAGCCGTCTCGTTGGTTTGTGGATGTTTGAAGCCGATGATCTCTAGAGCCAGCGTCTTCTTCACTTTGGCCATGTCGGCCTCACGGGCCGCCTGCAGAAGTGAGTGACCTTTGAACTCATCTATGAGAAAAAAGAAAAATAATATCCCTCGCATTATCCATTTATTTATTTATTTATACACATCTAATAAGAATGTCGAATGACTTATTTGTGACTGGAAAGGAGTTCCAGCCTGACTGTTCCAACATCTAAGCCGATGACTTGATAAACAATGTGAGGGTGCAGAGGGCCGACTGGCTGAGGGGGAACTCACAGGTGAGCCTTTCTTTGAGCTCGGGTGTGGGGGCCATGTCCACTGCACTCTTGCTGTGGCAGTTCAGCAGCGTGGGATCAGCCCCATGGCTCAGAAGAAGGGAGCAAACCTCGACTCTGTTTTTGGACGCTGCTTCATGGAGAGGAGTGAACTGCCACAAGTCCATGGCGTTCACACAGGCTCCGTGCTGCAAAGAGGGCAGACGCTCAGAGCACGGGAAGAGCAACAAAACAAACTAATTCTATACTAAACTAAACTCTATACTTTTAGATGACACCATAAACAGTCAAATGATTTTGTTCAGTCGTGTCCAAGTCGCACAATTTAATCCCTAAAAAAGCTATTATTTCCACATATCCCTTTTATCCTGCCAAATGGTTAAACACATCAGAAATTGGGACTGAACATGAGCCCAAGAAAACTCAGATTTCCATTGAAATGGCTGCATCACACAAAAAGCTGCTTTCAAATGGATTTAAATAGATCTGAGCAGCATATTTAGATACATTTTAACACATGATGCTCTATCTGCAGAGGAAGAATCTTCAAAGCAGAATCGGACACACTTTACTCAGTAATTTGATACATGTATAGCAGGACAAAGGGGACCAGCAACTAATAATCTTGCTTGGGGTTAGGAAGACTTCACTGGTTCAAAGTTTTCACTTGAAGACCAGACTGATGAGCTGCCATAAAAAAAAACTTTAAAGTGTAAGCTTACCCACAAAAGATAGACAAAGGTTTAGTGTAACTTACTTTGAGCAGAAGCTCTGTGACTTCGAAGTGGCCGTACGAACAGGCGTTGTGAAGAGGAACCAGGCCGCTGCATAGTAAGACAAACGTGTCACAAACAGTGGCCGATAAGTGTGAGTGCCCCCCCCCCCACTTCCCCTACTGAGTAGCCACTCACCCTTTGTCCTTAGCGTGAACATCTGCGCCGTGCTGGAGAAGCAGCTGGACGATGCGGACCCGGTTGTAGCCGGCGGCCAGGTGGAGGGGCGTGGACTGGAAGAGAGGGCAGCGTGTTAGCGCGCTCACACCGCCGGCGGCGGCGCTGCCTTCAGTGGCCACGGGGGCAAGCGGCTGATTAGGGCCAGAAGCAATGGGCTACTGCAGGCTATGCTTGGTGAGTTGCAGATGAAGGGCAGATTTGATGATGCAAGTTCGATGTTTGCGAGAAAATCCAGCGACAAAAATTCTGATGCTGCCAATACAACGTCTGACCCGAGCGAGTGGCGTGGGACTCATTTTCGTTACTCAACATTTAAATTGAATATTAAACCTGAAAGCCTGAGTTTGAAAATTCAGTTTTACGCAGTGAGCTGGAAATGGTAATCAAACGGTTAATAATTTTTAATTTAAAAAAGTTAGGCATGAATTACGGTTGGGATAGTTAGTTCTGTTTGTTCTCGAGTCTGCTTGTTTTATATAGATGAAAATGTTGTAAAGCCAAATTGATCGTGGGAACGTTTAATGGATGGTGGAGGGCTGTCATATCCCAACTGTAATTGGATGCAGGGTGGCTGCAGTAAGCTGGTTGAGTGTTTGAAAAAGCATGTCTGCAAGCTAGAAGGAGATCAAATCAGACAGCTTCGTTCCAGCCAAGACAAAAAAATGTTAGTATAAGCAAAGCTGCAAATCCAGCCTCAAAGGCATACATTTTATCATCAGAAGTCTAGCTCTTACCAAAACTAAAAATAAAGAAAAATCAGGAACATGATTTCAAAGGGTCATGCTGTGATTAGAAGACAAAACCCAGAAGTTCAAATCTAATATTTCAAGCCACAGCGATGAAGTCAAACTGATGAGATGGCTAAATTATGAAAGCATCATTCATTGTGTGAGGCATGTAAGCATTCAAATAATTCCCATGGGAGGAAGCGGAGCATTTTGATGACAGGTTAAATGTAGAGCATTCCTTACAGCATACCAACTGGTCCAAAAGGGAACATGAAGACACAAATTTCACAGACACAAATTCAAGATTCGCTTGACAAAATGCAGGAGGGTGGGCCTGAAGGCATGCATGAGTGATCATTGTCGGGGAGGGAAAAAAAAAAATAATAATTTAAAGGCCATATCAGAAACTGATTGGCTGAGCAAGTGATCGAAAGTCGGAGAAGTGTGGGTGAGTGTGCAGAGGAGAATGGACAGATGCCGAAGAAAGCAGGCAGTGGACATTTTGAGCTCCTCTCCAAAATCCAAGAAGATGAGTCATCACCATGATAAAAACCCAATGCACTCATTCAATCACATGCCGCTCTTACATACACAGACACACAGGTGCTCACCCACACACACACACACACACACACACACACTAGAGGAGCATCAGGGTAGGAGACATGAGTGACCCGTAAATCCCAGGTCCATGATGTGCAATTAACAAGTGACAGCCAGCTTATTGGTCAAATAAAAACGATGGATTAAAAAGGAGTAAAAGAAAAAAAAAAATCACAACAGTGCATCAATCAAATGGCTGTTATCAAGGTCAACTTACCAGCATTTTTTGTGAGGTTGACTGATCGACAAATGTTGCCAGAGTCACACGGAAAACAAAACGAAACACAAATTACCAAATGACAGCATCTTTTCACAGATATTTCCCTCTTCCTTCAAGTCAAACAAAAACAAACCGCAGTTATAAAGATCACTGGTGTGGCAAACGTGCTTGGACATTAAATGTGACACGAGGCTGGAGAGGGAAAGGAGCCAGAGGGCGAGTGGGGCTTTTCCTCTCCTCTTAGCTTTGTGAAACTAAATTGATGCTTCACGCCAGCCAGTTAAAAACAAACCAGATCTACACTGCAGATCATGCAGGGGGGAATACAGTGCTGATATATCATAAAGGTTAATGGAGTTTTTTTTTAAAACAAAGATGGAAATGTATCCATTTTAAATTTGCATAAAATGATTAAATCTTTTTTTTTTTTTTGATGAAAATATTTATGCATGAGAAGACGCTTGTCTTGTGCACCGGAAAAGATTTTCAAGATCACAAATAGTGGTATTCCAACATTGTAAAGCAACTGAAGGAAAGAAGCGAGTGATGTGCTAACTTGACAAAGCAAATGAATATATTAAAAGTTTTAAAGAAAGAAACAACATTGCAGTGTGTAGCATCATGGTGTGTCCTCAACAATAATAATACCTCCTCCTATGAACTCAGTCGCATCAATCCTCTTTTAACCCCCCAAACTAATCCAGCAGTAATGTGACTGGAGGGTGTCTTCATTTTCTTCCCCCCACTCAAAACTCCTTTTCCCATCCTTTAAAGATCTATCAAAAGTTCACGGTGACGTTCTCGCAGTACTGCAAAACACAACAACTGACATGTGACAGCCTGGGGGTGTTCATAGTGTAGCGCTGCTGGATCATTTACCTTGCGACCATCGCTGGCATGACAGTTGACATTCAATGGGGTCAGAAGGGCCATCAGCTTTTCTTCATTTCCACTCCTAAGGTACAAAGTTGTCTTTGCGTTATTCAACAGAGCCCATAATAATAATCATGACTCACTGGCAGCATGCTTTACAGATATAGATATACGCACCTTGCTGCTTCCAGAAGTTCATCCTTCTTGTATTCACCTGGACAAAAGAAAGAAAAACAAGTATTAAGCTCAAACCTGTTTACACACTGTAGTTGATGGGTATAATTGTATACATCTTCTTTATCTTTTACTTCTACAATTATAAAACAATTACCAATAAGCCAATGCTTTGTTTAAAAAGAAACTTACTCATCAATGGTCCTATGAGAACAAACGTCTACAGTCAGATCCAATCCCATTTAGCCACAAAGCTACATATCTACCTTTATCTTTAGCTACACACAGCCTGAACTTCCTCAGAAATCTAACTACATGATACGGAGACCAAAAGAGCAAAGAGCAAAAGAACTGTGATTGATTCCCTCTGAAACAAAAGGTCATAGTAATAACCGCTCCATGGTTTACTGTGTACCCACAGTTCACAGTTGGATATGGTAACACAAGAATATGGGAATTTAACTAAATATGAGTGATAGTCAACAATGAGGAGGCTGACCTGTAAGTACAGCCTTGGCTGAAGGGTCAGCCAGATCCAGAGCTGATTTGCCATCAGTGTTTCGGATATTTGGATCAGCTCCATGCTGGAGTAACACTGGAAAACAGAAGTGGAGGAAAAGGACGATAAATTAAATTCTGCATATATTCTGTATTACGAGATGGCCATAAATGATCAAAAACATCTGTCCTCAAACATAAATTCCTTACCAATGCACACATCTATCTTCCCCTTGATGGCTGCCTCGTGTAACGGGGTGTAGTTCCAGTTATCTCTGGCATTGGGGTCTGCACCTTGACACAAGAGGAGACTGACAACCTCTGCATGCCCGAAAGAGCAGGCATTATGCAAAGGGATGAGGCCTCCGTCATCTCTGGCATGAACGTTGGCCCCCGTCTGTAAAAGGTGCTCCACCACATCCTTTCTACCAAAGCCTGAAGAAAACAAACAGACAAACAAAAAAACATCAAATAACACATTGAGCCTTCTTCTGACTGGTCAGAAAACAGGTATACTTAAAATGAGCTAATTCGCATCATGGAACTGAAAGAGAAAAAAATAAAGAAAAACAGCATCACATCATATGAGGTACAGTGGTTATTGGCACACTGCAGCATAACTATGTAAATAGCCAGGACCTCCTTAATATGTAAGTTTCCTTGGTAACATTAGTTTAAGAATCGGGGAAATTACTTTAAATACGTCGAATTCAGAATAAACCCCTTTTTGTTTCAATCAGAACAGTAGGTGAACACACTGTTCCTGACGGGGTTACATTTAAACTTGTTTTGACTTTCCTTGGCCTGTGTAATGAGTTGACGAGATGTTGACCGTCTCGTAAACAAAATGACTGCAGAGCGTCAAAATAGCTAGTTAGCGCTAGCTAGCGATAGCAAAATCTGGAGAAAAATGGGAATTGTAGTCGTAGTCATAAGAACGGGCAAATGTCAACAAGTTACTGATAAAAGTGTTTAGTAAAAACATCATCGTTATCTAGCTGTTTTCAGTATAGCAGCTGACAGCGGAGCTAATGGTAATGGCAACACCATTAGCTTAGCTCATCCTTACCAGCAGCGAAATGTAGCGGAGTTGATTTTCGGCCAGCCATGTCCTTCGCGTTTACATTAACCGAGTCAACAAGTCTTTTTACTCTGGATACGTCTCCGTTTCTGCACGCCTCGAACAACTCCCTGAAAGCTCCGCCGACGCCGCTGCTACCGTCGGTGGGACTGGGAGCTCCGGAACCGGGGCTGGAGACGCTGCTGCCGCCGCCAGAGGTTGTCGTGGTGGAGCTGGCGCTGCTCGCTAGAACCGGGGCTGGCAGGTCCGGGGAGGCCACGGCCATTTCGATCCCTCCGCTGCACTCCCTCTCATTCTCCGACGGTCCGACAGCCGGGGCCAGCAAAGTCATGGGCGGAGAGGCCGGAGGAGCGCCCGAAAGAGAGCTGCTTCTCGGCGGAGACTGTAATGTGCTCTGCTGTTGTTGCTGCTGCGAGGAGCGACGAGACACCGCCATTACAGCAGCTCTCAGGCAACAATAAAAGCTGCTCCTCCTTTCCGGTGAAAGTGGCTGCGCTTCCGGTCAGCTGTTCGCTCACAGCAGGGGCCGACTGCAGAACCCGAATCCCAGAACCCAAACACAGGGAACTTTACCAACTTTTTAAAACATTATTATAGTTCGTTAACCTTTATAGAATCAAAGAAGGTGTTGGTGCGATTAATATATTTCAGGACAGAGGGTGGAAAAAATAAGGGATGTTCATGATGGAAGAATAAAGATACCATTAAATTTAACTATAATTTGAGTTTTGCCTGTAATATCTGTTTTTAAACTGCTGGGGATATTAACTAGTCTGTTCAACTTTAATAGGGGCACTCAGTGACACCAATAACCACACATTTTCATCAACATATGATGTAATTGGGGGCATTCATCCGATATGGCTCAAGTCAAGAAAAGATGCTGAAACCACCAAAGTTGGAATTTCTCTCCCACAGAGTATCGTTATACATGATCCCATCTTTTTGCTCAACTCCCTCAGCCAATTGAACAAGAGAAGGTGTACTGCACTACCCAAAACGCACTGCTCTGTCCACTAAAGATGGAAAGGTCCTTCTCCCATCCATGCACACTCAGTGTTAGGGCCATGCACAGGGGTACCGTCTTCTCATTGATCACATGACAAGCATGAGAGTGCGCATATGTACGTATGTGTGGAGAACAGCAGTCTTGAAAAGCTGTGATAGGATGGGCCTGACCCATGTGAGTACACAGACTAAGCTGCCATCACTCTGCTCTATCAAATCCACTGTGTTCACTCGACCCAGGTATGGAATCAAAATGTAGGCCTCTTTCTCTTATTTCAGATAATGTGGCCATCATTTTGCTGGCCCTGCAAGTTTTTTTTTTGTAAAAATGCCTCCATACTTCAGAATAATCACTTAAGCAATGAACCTGTGTCTGGACAGTAGCCTTTTGGCATCCTTAAAAATCTTTTAGTTTATAATAATTCTTTCAAGGCATGATTATAGCAAAAAAAAAAAAGAAAAAAAAAGTCAGACATCTAGAAACAGCCAGTTTGCAAGCACGAGTAGGTCTGCTTGACACAAAAGTCCTAAATTCCTGACAAAGTTTAATTCAAACTCACTATACACGCAATATCTTTTTAAATGTTGTAACGCATAAAAAGGAGTAAGAAATGCAAAAATGAAAATACTTTTTTTTCTTGCAATTAGGTAAGATGACAGATTGACTACATGTAATACAAAGATATTCTAAAAACAAAATAACCACCTACGCTCTAGGAAGAGATGAACAGGTTTATTATGTCATTGACAAAATTCCAGAACAATGATATCATTTTATGAAAATGCAGATGAAAAGATCAAAAACAGACTCATTTGAATGATGGAAACCTTATTAGTCCAGCTGAAAGTGTGGTCTGAACATTCAAACCATTAATCCACATTCTGGAACAAAAAGCAAATGTGGTCAAAACTAAAAATCAGGGCAAATTCACTCCAAACTAAAACTTTACATGCCAACATGTACAACAGATTAGAAATTAAAACATCCTTAAATATAAAACTTATATTTTTGGCATTATCTTCCAACTCTGATGGCCTGGTTTTTTTCCTTAATTTCTTGTATAAAATCCTTTTCCTTATTAGCATACTAGATGGAAATATTACATATCTTACTGTCTCAAGTACTACAAGTCAACATCAACTCTTCTGATGTAATGGGCTGTAATTACAGAATTTCTTAATCCATTTGGCGCTTGCTGCTGCTGCTCAAAGGAAGAAGAGCTTGTCTGAAAGCTGGGTGGCCGGCTCTGAATGCAGATACTGACCGGAGAGGTAAGCCAGTTTGTGGGCATACTTGCATGGTGCTGGAACACTAATGGTGCCGGGCCAGTTCCAGTACAGATGGCACATTTTGAACGTCAACCTGGCATGAAAAGAAATCAAACATCTTTCAACAATTTGCAAACTTTGGGAAAAAAAATAAAAATAAAAATAAAAAAAGGGATGAATTCAAAATAAAGTTGTGATGTAAAACTTGCAGGCTTTGTGTACAGTGCAAAATATTCTGATCCAATGGTTACACACACACGTGAGAATCTGTACAATTTCTTAAATTTGACAGGACAAAACTAAAATTACTTTCAGAAGTATTCACCCCCTCAGTGATATATCTATTCCTCTGATTTGCATCTTGTAATTTAAAGGATTTTTGAGGAATTCATTCTATGAAATGGCAATTTATAAAATAGTTTTAAACAAAGTGCTAAATGAGTAAGGGTAGTATTAAAGAAAATATCTGTGTATATGTTAAAGATAAAGCTGTGTGAATGTAAAATCCATGAATACTAAAAATCATTTCATTTAGTAAGCCACTGTAGTGCATGGCATCATGTAGATCTAACTACATACGGTACATGATTGATGTTTTATTTCATAAAGTGTATAACACATACAAACACAAGGAGTTATCAGCATTTATAATACCCACCACAAACAAAAATGTACATCAAAGTTGGAGTTGCACCTTGCCACCTCTTATATAAATAAATATGATTGGGAGAATAACATCACATACCTTTGCAAATGGTCTGGTGTGAGGTTTGCAGTGTTGTACAAAGAGATGTAGTGAGTAGGAAATCCACAGCCCTGGCGAATTTGATGAGCCATCAGATAAAAGTCCATCCTAAATTTAAAGAAATAATCTTTAATGCTTGCAGATTAAGTGTCTAAATCTCACCTAAAAACAAAATGAAAAAAAAACCCAGCACATGTCTGAAATTTCTGGAGTGTTTGAAACTCACTTTTCCATGCATTCAGTTTATTTATGAAACTGACATTCTGTTGTTCATGCCCACTTAATCGTTTGCTTTTCTGTTGATCGATGGGAGAGGAGCCAGACACTGCATCCCTTTCTCACAGTCTTTCATGCATTAATCCATTTGTTTGACTTGCAAGAGCAATAAATACAGAACAATGTCCTTCTAAGGAGACTCTTCACAATGACGTACATGGATACTGTGTCTCGAACTTCAAAAACCTTTTATTTAAGTATAATTTTAGCAAGATCTGTAAAGTTGAGACTGACCAGTCTTTGTGAGTGACAGTGTGATCCACAACAGTTCCAGGTGGAGGGGCACCGAAGGCGTTTGAAGAACAGGAGTAGAGAGTGGTGCTGATGCGTTTCTGGACCACAATGACGACCAGCTTGGGCTCATAGCTGGGGAATGTCTCAAAACATTTGATCAACTGGGGGATCTCGTACTGCTCCACCATCTTCAGCTGTCCGTCAGACACACCGTCCCGATACACCACAATCTTTTCAGGCAGGTTGTGGTTGACCTGTGCAGAAGAACAAGCTGCTGAGATTTATTCAGCCTGAAAGGTCTCAGTGAGGACCTACAACTGCCACATTTCTTCACTTTTCCAAATAAGATTCTGATCCAGGCTAGATTCAACTTTGACAGCTAACTTTAAACTAGGTGTGGTTTGAAAAAAACTGAAACATTACCTCGTAGTATTTCTTTAATGCAGCCAGTAAGCATACTCTCAAGCCGTTGATGAGTTCTTCATTTGGGGCCTGGAAAGTTACTCTGGAGTACCAGCGGGTCAGTGAGCTGGACAAGGAAAAGACCAATGTGTTCATGATTCACTTATTAGCAGCGCTCCCAAAAACTAAAGTCACCTCAAGTGAAAGACAAATATTTCAACATTTAGAATAAAGGCTGTGATCATATTAGAATAGATTTTAAAGCCCGAAAATATAACCCTAAACCTTCCACTTTAGCTGTTTAAGAGGTGAATCAAAGCTGTTCAGAGACTAGTGGTGTGAAGGTTGGAGGGCTGTGACTGGAGGAACACTTTTAGCTCTATACTGATACAGGTATTCAATATAATACTGATAAATCATGATAATGAAGATCCCAATAAATCAGGCTAACAAAAAAAGAGAAAAAAGTACCTGTTCACACTTGCAACAAATCCCATAACCGACTGATGTGACCTGCTGGTATCATGGTGGACATCAACACCTATTACCATCAGGTTTTTCTGTTCAAGCGACAGGAAACGGATCATAAACTAAAACATGTGTTTTAAGCTGGAATGAGAAGAGCACAGCACTAACTGATGCTTTGGCCATCTGCGACCTATTATTTAGAGGTCTATTCAATCTGATGGCAAACTGGCCAAATTAAATCAAGGTGCAGGCACTGGATTCTGGTAAGTAAGGTTACAAAACCACAAAAGAAGAAAAAGATTCTTTGAACATTTTACCAACTCAATTTATAGTGGTTTAAAAATTAAGTTTCTATTCATACAAATTAAATTTCTAAGCAATATCTAAACAGACCACACATCTAGTCCAATCATCATCAGGCTTTTCTCTTCATACTTCTAGAGGATGTGATGTTACACGGTGCTCACCAGAGGCACGCTGACGGTCCACAGCTCACCACCCAGCTTGCTGTTAACCTGCAGGAGGATCTTCTGGGCAATACTCCTTAACTTCTGTTGCTGAGATATTGTCCGGACATTTATGGCCTAATGCCCAATAAATTTAGAAAAAACGTAAGAATTTTTTTGGGAGGAAAAGATTGTAAAAACTAATAAACTTAAGCGCACAAAAGTTCTGTGTTCAAAATAGAACCTTTTCTCTGATTCAGAAACTGCTTAGACAGGAACATTACAAACCTGGGAAGGCACAGGGCTCTTAACACAGCACAGCTTCTTGATGGCACTGTAGAGGTCATCTCTGCTGCCAACCAAGATACACACTACGAGCTGCAAATTTGGCTTTAGTTAAAAAAAAAAAGAAAAAAGAAAAGAAATAAAATCAGGGACATCCCATCCTCAGACACACATTTACTTATAAACAGTGCATCAAGAGCAATGTTTATCCTAAACAATTGAGAGTGAGTTAACACACAATTTGCAGAATTACAAACACGAATAGATTAAAAACACTTTATAGGACACATCTGTGTACCCATAAGGAGAAAAGGTTATATCAGCTGAATTTCCACCTCGCTGGTGAGCTGAGAATGGATGCTCTTGACATAAGTTTCAGTCCGATCATCCCGTAGCTCCACTCTAATGGGCCGCTCCAGTCGCATGCCGATAGGCCCAGCCACCTTGTTAAAAGTGGAAACTAACTCCTCTGCTTGTTCAGCACAGCGGTGGGGGTAGAAGATAGCCCAGATGTTCAAGGCGATCTAGAAGTAAGATGGGTCAGTCAATGAAAGACAAACTCACCAACGTTAAAGCTGAGGCAGAATATCTGGTAATGAAAATATCAATTACCTTCACACGAGATAAAAAAGACAAATAATTTAAACCATTATGTAGCTTGCTCCTTCAGCTTTACAGTTCAAGCCGTTTAATCGTTTCTCTGCAGGTAAATCGAACCAACACATCCATCCATCCATATGCAATGCATAAACAAACATGTCACTCACAGTGCTGATTGAAGCAACCCTCACAACCTCTCTGGACCAGGACATATCGGCCCCAGTTTGAAAGGATGACGACTGTAGACAGATGGTTTCAAGAGGCAGCGTTCTGCCATTAATCTGCAGCAGAAGTAACAAAAGATCTTTTAGCATATCATTTTAGGTAATTCACGTGACTTCGTTTAGCACATCTGTGAAGTAAATAGACAACATAGGGGGAGGGGGGTGTCTGCTGCTGTTGCATCTCGTCAAAGGGAAATCCGATATCGTAAAGCTCCGCACTAACCAAAGGCTAGTTAATTATGTCTTATTTTGCTCCATTAGGGGAAAAATGCAGAATACTCCATGTACAATGGACAGAGAGAGGAATCAACCGTTTTTTGTGTAGATTAATCTGTATTGATGGTGACCACAGGATCACTATACAGAATCTAAAAATGATAAGACTGCACAACAAACAACAGTTAAAGCATCTGAAACACCGATCCATTCCATTATTGTGCTTTATATTGAAGATGAGTTTCTATAAAAATATTCTAGGAAAGGTTGAGCATTTTAGGGCCACATAGTGCCAATATGGAACCACTAACAGCTCACTCAATGCAATACAAAACTTAAAATGCATTTCAGATTCATAAATGAACCAATAACTATGTGAATGACTAGAAATGGCATGATCCACATACACCACTAGCAACTAAACCATTTTGTCACTGATGACCCTGCAGTCGACACTTATGACACACATGCAGACAGGTCTTGAGGTAGAAGTAAAAAAAAAAAGAAAAGACGACATTACTGTTTTTTCTTGAAACTGAAAAAGAGCTCGGCATTTTTCTACTTTTGTACACTGTAGAATTTTGCTGTTCGCTTTTAAATTGGAACAGGACTTTGAAAGTCCCCATCTGACCCCCATCCCTGCATTGTACAGGAAAATCTTTAGGTAATACAAAAGTGGCATCTGGTGTTGAACAGATGTTGTTCACCTTAACCATGTGTTGGAAATGGTTCCAAAGCACTGTGCATCAGTGTTTCTTAAATTAAGGAAGCATTTCTGTCTTCTCACCATCAGAATTTCAGAACCAATCTGCAGTCCCCACCGACCGAGCTCCTTCGCAGTCTCTTGATTGGAGCTGATGTTCTTCAGAAGCTGCTTTATCGAGTGCGTGTGCTGCTCTCCGCTCACATTGATGTGCATGGTCAAGTCCTTTAACATATGAAGGCGATCATTTTTAGATTGAATTAGCTCTTGGATTCTAGTACAGTTCCATCCTTTAAGCTATCAGTGGGTAAATACCACACCAGAAATAAATACTTCAGTCTCTTTCAACAAGAAAGACTATTCTGATTAGTCTTTATACACTGCAAGTTAAGAGTTGAATGACCATCCTCACATACATTTGTATGAATGATAATGGGACAATAGCAATCCATCAATATTGAACTTAATAGTGAAATATTCTCTGTTCTCGTTTATGAAAAAAAAAAAAGAACACGAGCTCATGCTTAACATGTTTTACCCCCCCCCAAAAAAGCTAAATAAATCTTTTGTAAGATCTCAACACAAGAGATCTGTTTAATTAATAATAAAAGAGACCACGGATATTAAATAATGATGACAGCAGAGGTTAAAGTCTGGATTAAAAGAATAGAAATGAGGTCCAACACATTTAAAAGTTTTAGAGTCTCTGGATTAAATAAGATCAGATAAACAAACATGTGCTTTAAGTTAATTATATCCTATATAAATATATGGATTATATGTTTATGAAATATATAATGTGTTTTTATGGAATATATGCTGACTTCATTATAGAAGATCACTGAAATTACTTTCATAGCTCTGAAGTCCTTCCTCATTTTGTCTGGGATTCCCGTCATGAAGGATAGCTCTGGGACTAAAAGGATCTCTCCAGTAATAATTTGCTGCATGATGAAACACATATGAAGAGAAAAATAGAAAGGTGATACATAAGCTATGAAGAAAATACACACATAGAAATATTAAAAGAAAAAATGTACAGGCTACTAAAGGTGCTGAACGAAAGTACAGTGGCAGTCTAGGAGTTCTGTCGATAGAGAGAATAAATAAAAACTTAACATCTCCCCAACCCAAGGACGTTTTTTATCTCTGAATGAAGGTCTGTGAGGGGAAAGGGTCAGCACTAAAAATATATTCAAATTAAACAGATCTTCTGTTCTGGATTGAGTAATTTCAGCATCAATGGTCACGGTGCTGTATTTTAGTAAGTAGTGAACTTCCTGAAAAAACAGGGTTAAATTTAGGCCTACCTCACAATAAAGGCCAGAATCCAGTGTCATAGTAAGGACCATGACAGAATTACACAGCAAAGCTTCGAGGGCTCCTGTATACTACACATCTAAAATTCCAACATCTCCATAAAATATTCTGTTCATTTTTGTGTCTTTAAGAAGTTCGTTTCATGAAGTTGCTTGTGGCGGGAAAAACAGCAGAAAGCTTAAAGTTTTGGGCTGTTTGTGGAACAGAAATGATTAAGAATTGACTCATCGAGTCATGTTGCCAAATTACGATCAGCATATTAATGGTCATTACCACTAGGAAAACAAGCAATCATTCAAACACCCTCTCTAAGCTTTATAAAATACAGTTTACTTCACAACTTTGTTTAACCTGTAACCTACAGAAATATTTTACTGTCAAAAGTGCTAAAAACCACGTTTTCTGCAAGCTGTAGGTAATGGGTTTAAAACATTTACAAAAGAATTAAATAGGGGCCTCTCAATTATTTTACAGGTCTGTGTGCAGTTGTACGATGGCCTGTGTGTGTCTGAGCAAAAACATTGGCCACAAAACAGTAAGTAAGCAAGTAAGTGTTTAAGAAAACTAAAGTAAAGGGAAGAGAAACCAAATTTCCACTAAATCAAACACTTTGCTCTGGCATGATAACACTGGATTGGATAGTGGTTGTGAGCAAAACTTGTTTTAGCCACAAGGAGGCAGTGTTAGATTGAGACAAAATAACTGCAGATCAAATTAATGCTGGACTTTGAGGAAAAACAAAATCTAACTCTCCTTCATATAACAGAAGGCTGCAGAAACATTGTACCTTGCCTCCTGGTCTGGACCTCTCCTTGGGTCGGTGCAGAAGCAAAGGTTGGTTCAATTCCTTGATTGTGATTCCATAGTTCTTGCTGCAAAAATGCCCAAATGCACAGAGAGCAATAATGATAAAAAGAATACAGAAGACTTCTGGCCTAAACTATAAATGGAGGAACTGCAGTGCATCTGCTAAACTGAGCTTAGCTTAGTCTAACCTGTAGTACTCCAAAAAGGTGGTTTTGGTGCCATCCATTAAAGTGAAGGTGTCCTTGGGCGATTTGTTCCACTCGATGGCATCAATGCGGTAGGTTCGGTTGTTGTAGCGGGTGATAACAATACAGCCAATGAGTTCTTTTGTGCATTCGTCTTGGAAGTTCTCTTTGGTCTGCTGGTACAGAGTGTTCCTGACAGACAACAGGAGAAAACCTCTAAATCCAATTTGAACGGGTATAGATGAAACACATTATAATTATTCAATTCGTTTTAGTAAACCCGTCTTATCATAAAGGTGGACACCATTAAATTCATCTAAAGATAAAAGTATATCGTCAAATGAAAGGTTAATACAGATTTATTTTTCCGTTTCTTCTCAAAAGTCAGATGCACTGATGATAGAGCTAGTGTGAGCTTTCATACAGAAAGCAGCAGAATGTATGGATAAGAAACAACTCCTAGAAATAAAGCATTAAACAGAAGCCCGCAAAAAACATTACAGTTTTTATAAGACTTAAGAGATTGATGTTTCGAGGGGGTGTTTCAAATGTCACCAGCATGCAGTGAAGACTTCAAAAAGACAGAGAGGCTAAATAATAATAGAGAGGATTAGAAAGACAATACTGTGACAACATAATCAAAAGTGACAAACAAGGTTAAAAAAATTAAGAGCAATAGTTGAAGCCTGCAGCTTTGTTTCTGTGCACTCACATGACATCCAGCACAGAGTCATTCCGCAGAACTTTGTGAGACACATCCACAGACAGGTACAGACCTCCATCTGTGCGTTTAATACACGTAGAATAGCCTGGCCACACCTGCAGCCTACAAAACACATAGGACAAAGCAGGACAGTAGGGGCTTTCATACTAACAGGTATTGGGTTCCCATGTGATATAAAACTACTAACCGATGTTTTCCAAGGAGGACCGCACTCTCTGGATCGTAATGATTTCGGCCTACCAGTTTAAGTCCAATGAGTTTCATCACCCTTGAAATACAAGAACACTGATGTAATTTCATTCAACCATGCTCACCGTTATAAAAAGGCAGCTAAAGACTGAAAGTATTTATCGAGGTTATTTCTTAAAAAGGGCAAAGAGAGCAGTGAATTTAGTTTTCTAATCAGGTCTAGATTTATGTGAGCCGAATGGAAAAATAAACCTTTTTTGAAGGCTACTTAGTGAAAACTAATTAGGTTTAAAGATATTAATCATTTGGCAAATTTCTTTGAACATATCCTCAAAACTAGTTTTTTCTTTTTCCAAAGAAATACCTCCTGAGCACCACATTGTAGAAAGGGAGGCAAAGATCAGAGTTGGGTGGCAAAATCTTTGTCATCTGGATCTTGATTTCTACTTCCTCATTGTCTGTCCGTCTCAAACTTCTGAGAACAGTTCCCTGAATGTCACCAAAACAGCAAAATATTAAACTGTGAAGTTTAGCAGCACTGTAGTTCTGCATAAAAACAATTTTACAATATTTTTTACAATAATAATTGTAATTTTATTCAAATAAAATGTAGAACCCATTTCTATTCTAATAAATTTGTATCGGGAAATCCTGAAAAAACAGCTCAGCACAATAACACTTACGTCACTCAGTTTAACTGGCAGATACAGTATGGAGCCATCAAAAGCCACAACTTCTCCTGTGATTGAGCGGTGTTCTTTCATCATGCCAAAACGCATCGACATCGATTCAACATTGGGTCTGAAATACATCATTTATAAAGGTAAATGTATATCATAAAACATGCATCCAATGCATTCTGCGCCAGCAAAGACGCACATCATTAATGTTCTTCCATCTCGCAGATCTCGTTTTATCCTTACGTAAATGTGATGTGGTACTGATACACTGCTTCATTCTTGCATCTAATCGAGATGTAGTTTGCTCCAATAGTTATTGGAGTTCCCTTTGTTCCAGCTTTCTTGAGTGGCTCACTGAGCAGAGAAAAATACAAAAACAGAAAAAGATCATTTCACCAAAACACACAGTTTACTTTTAAAGAATAATTTATTTGTTGCATTTCTGTCTGCAGAAAATAGTGTTACCAAGTGATGTGATAAACAATACATTGATACTTTTAGCTGTTTTTTAAATGCAGTTATTAGTAGGAAGTGATATCCTGTTAGAGCTGCCTTTTCACTCTGTGTAACCATCAACTTTGAATCAAAATTAATTAATGCATCCAATGCCAATAAAATAGACATCTTAAACAGTGAGACTGGTTGTTAGTCAGACATGAGCTCATACCATTTGGTTAAGTCTGCAACATAATGTTTTAAACAAAAACAAACAGCACCCATCAATTTAAGATTAAAGGATCCTTGAAGAAACATGTTCAATTTGTGCTCAAAACCAAAATCACATTTTCTTCCTGACATGTCTGTTGTATGAACTAAGTTCCACGCCCTAAAAGGTACTACTGAATTACTAGTTTCTGGCTATGTGATAAATTGCATTTCTAAAATACTCATGAAGGATTACATATATGCTTTAGCTCCTATGGACAAACAATGCCTGGAGAGCGTTACTGTGAAAGCAAATTAACATTGACGTGAGAATTAAAGAATAACCACTGGGTATAATGATGGCATGTGATTGTAAAATATTGTACTTCATCACATGACCAAAGGACACGTTTTATAGCCAGATTACATAAACATGTAGACGTAGTCTGCAAACCAGTGTAAGAAAATATGAACAATGAAACATTAACATTACATTTACATTTATCCATTTAGCAGACGCTTTTATCCAAAGTGACTTACAAAAATAGGGTTTAACATTCAGCTACAACACCAGTAACACACTTGCTTTACCTTGAGTGAAATATGCTATAAGAGGATTTAACATTAAGGATTTAACATTCTCCTATAACATATATTAAACAAGTACCATACATTGAGTGCTATATGTTATTAGCATATACTCTGGGAAGAGCTGGGCCTTCAAGGATTTCTTAGAGGAGGAAAGAGAATGTGATGCTCTGATAGTGCTTGTCAGGTTCTTTTCACCAGCGTGGAATTGCAGATAAGAGTCTTGTTTGGAGCAAGTTTTTTGGTGGGCGAAAGGCGAGCAGTGAAATAGGGTTTTAAGAGGGTTTTGAGGTAGATGGGTGCAGATCCATCAAAAACTATGTGGGTCAGCATCAGTAATTTGAATTTGATGCAAGCAGCAAAGGGAAGCCAATTGTCTTATCAGTGAACAGGGGTGTGACATGTGCCCTCTGGCTGGTTGAAAACCAAACGGGCTACAGCATTCTGGATCATCTGTAGCGGTCTCACAGCCCAGGCTGGTATGTCTGTTAGGAGGGCATTGCAGTAGTCAAGGCTGGAGATGACTAAGGACCATGCTAGGAGCTGTGTCGCATGTTGGGTTAGATATGGCCTCATCTTCCTGATGCTGTCACATTAGTAAGCATTATTGAAAAACCTTTTCTTTACATTCACACTAACTCATACTCAAAAGGCCACGCGTGATGGATGATTTATAGCTCACAGCTTTCAATGTCAATGCCCCATTAGGCAAAAGGAAGAAGAGAAACACTTACTGCACTGCTTCCATTGTCAGCTCCTTCTTTGTGGGAGCTATAGTAGATTGCACAGTAGAATCTTCACAGGTAGACACAAGGGGCTCAGCTCCTTTAGAGTTTTTGCAACTCATTAGACATGTAGATTGAATTTCATCCAAATGCATTCATGAAACCCATTATGTATCATAATAAACAGTCTTCACATTACTGAATTTCAACAGGTCACTTAAGCGGCATCATCCAGCTCACTGAGGGAAACTATTTTCCTTTTCTAACCCAGCCCAGATTGTCAGTCATTTTACAAGGTTCATTACCTTTTAGGGAAAGCTCGCAGTGTGGGGCCGTTAGCTCAGGTGTTGGAGAACTTGGCTGCCTGTGACCTATATGAAATGATGCAGGCAGAGCGCGTCCTCGTCCCATTACAAGCTGTGGCATTGCTCCTCTCCCCATAGGCACCATCAGCTGAGGGGATAAACTTGGGCCATGGAAACTGTAACAGGTCCAGTACCACAACAACCAAAGCAGAACATTAGTTTTATGGTGACAACAACAAGGGAAAAGCTATGGTGTTTGTCTGCATTTATTAATTTTGACTCAAAATTGAATCGTTCCCTGTACCCAACAAAGTACCTACAATGTCAATAGAAGCCAATAATAAATAACTCTGTACTTAATGCATTTACTTAGCTTTTAATTCAGAGGAAAACAAACATTATGTTGTGATGCTGACAGAACTTTATTTTGTGGTGATGTCTGATACTATTACATCTTTTATAAATTGCACAGGCTGAGTGAGAACATCTAACAGTATTTGACACCGAAAACACTTCCTGTGGCATACCTCTCTGGTGTACTGGTCACACCTAAAGGGGAACCTCTCTCTGGTGTACTGGTCACACCTAAAGGGGAACCTCTCTCTGGTGTACTGGTCACACCTAAAGGAGAACCTTTCTCTGGTGTACTGGTCACACTTAAAGGGGAACCTTGTGGTTTCACATCACCTATATCCCCTGCTGCTCCAATTTCTAGAACATGTAAATTCTCACGGTTACTCTGTGTACACCAAATACGCACATTTCAGCAGGAAAAAAAATATTGTGGATTTCTTACTAACACCTTCATGCTTTGTACAGTTTAACGAACATACTTGTCTAATCTGAAACTGTGATAAAAGAAAAATGAACTGAAACAAATAAAGATTGTGGACCTATTCTCCCCTTGAAACAGTACTTGCACTGTTGAATCAAAAGCTTTGGAAAACGCATACTACAATACGCATCTATTATAAATTCATTTGAATGTTACAAAAGACTTTAAAAACAGACCTGCAACTAGTGTCCCTCTTCCCAAAGAAGTCTTGGTCTCAATGCCCATCCCTCTAAACATTGAGAGAAGTGTGGGAGCCTGGCCATAAGATGGTTTGCTAACCTTAAGGATTTAAACATAAAAAAAGAAAGTTATAAATTGAGATTATTTCTTGTTCACAACAAATGGGGATGTGTGCTTTTGGTGTGCGACCCATATCAAGTATGGGACTCTGTTCATGCTTTGACTCCAGTGTGGGCAACAGTCTACATCTGGCCTACCTTCGATTCGGCTAGTGGAAGAAGCCCTCTGGCCCGACCAACGCCTGAGTCATCAGGCTGCAGCAACAGCCCTCTACCTCGTGCCACCACAGGTTCAACAAAAGGAGACAATACTTGTCCCTGAGAATTATCACCAGGAGTGAGCAAACTTCTGGTTCGTCCCACACCGGGTGCTTCTGCAGCGAGAAGCAGCCCTCTACTGCGTCCTAGGGAAAATTCCTCAGTCGGCTTTCCTCTTCCACGTCCCAGCCAAAGGACACCCGTCATGGCACTGTGGTCAGGCGGCTTGCTTTGATCCATTTGTTTAACTTCTGATCCAGTCAGTTGACAACAATTTAGCTGAGAGGAAAACACCAAATAGTAATGTGAGAAATACATCAAAACTATCACATACAGGAACTAGACATCCAGAGAAATTGATGGCTCATATCACAGCTGTTTGCGAAGGTGGTTAAAAGAAGTTCTCACATGGAAATTTAGCTACTTTTTAAGATATATTCAGACATATGACAATGTTAATGTCAACCTTTTTCTTTAGTACATCTATGCTAATATTCACATTTGACTCCTGTTTTTAACAGAAAAACAAAGGACATTCTTTGATGCAAACCTTTTCTGCAGCTGCTGTTCATACAGTAATATCTGCACGAGACTAAGCATGCAGTGATCCATTCAGAAGTCATGTTGTAGAAATAGCTCTTCACAGAATGGAGAGAACTACATATTCTAATTGATGTGCATATATGTATCCACATGGCAGTGAATTAACAGAAAGCAGCTCGCAGGTCAGCAAAAAGAAAAAAAACAATCATTCATGGTTGTGCTGCAGCTTTAAAACAACTACTTGTTAACATGTCTTCTGAACTGTTAGACTGAAACAAAACTATGTACAAGTATTAGACAAATACAAGGAACTGATTACACTAATGCTGTTTGAACACAATTTGAATAATTCCATGGATAAACCAAAAGACAGCTACAAAAGAAGCTTTAAGAGATTAACTTCAACTGGACAGTGGGAATCTACCCAAAATAACAAGATTGAGTGCAAACCGTCAGCTGCTATGTAGACTCATAAATTGGATCCATCCAAAGCACATTTATCAGACCTGACAGTTTCAAAGCCTTTACATGAGATCCTCATATCAGTTATTCAGTTCAGATAGTTCGTTTCTTGCTGCCTCAAGTGCAGCAAATATCCTAAGATGGGGCATATTAAATGCCCCCAAGTACTACCAAGTACTTAAGGGAATTTGGATATGTGACTGCATGTCTATAGTAACCTTAAGAAATGCATAATAAAGCCCCGTGCAAAATTAACTAATGTCAACTACCGGTACTTGCATAATTATAATCAAAACGAAAGATTCTACTAACACATGACCAATACACCTATATAGATATTTTTGTTAATTAAAAAATTACTGCAATGTTTTATTATTCTTTAACCAAATAAGTAACTAAATTGTGCAATTACATAAACTTTTGCTTTTAAGAAATTGTAAAACATCACACTTTTACCAACTAATCTGTTATGGTTTTATGCTTATGGAAGTTGATTTATACATATTTATTTTTTTACACATGGGAAGTTTTATGAATGTAGATGATAAATGTAAAAAGATCAGTTTTGCTCTTAGTGACAAATTACAGAAAACACATTGCTTTCACCTCAGTGTAGGATAACCAATTAAGCAATTACTAAATGGAAATGGAAAATACAACATGATTCAGCTGAATATTCTTGTGTGTTCACTCATTTGCAATGAACAGTTTTGGTGTGGCACAAAGCAAAAGTGGATGTTGGATTTTGTCAGTACAATTTTGCTGTACAGCATGATCTCTTGCATCTAATGACCACTCAGAATTTGGATATTCATGGAACCCCTTGGCATTGTCATCAGTCTATAATGAACTAGAGACCAACTGGGGTTCTGATTTCCCCTCAACTGTTTGTCTTGAAACAATCTTGACAATGTGCCACTTCACATGGCATAGATGTTTCTGCCGTCAGTCATTAGATTAAAGATCTCATCTGTTACATTTTGTTTAAAGGATTCTGGGATCGCTGTCATAAATCTGACAACTCTCAAAGGAAGTATCAACAATTGTTGTAAATGGCCTAGGACGCCAATTCATTTCATGCTTATTGGTGACGTGCTTCTGACCATCTCCCCTCCTTGTCACTGAAAACTCCTCGTGATCCTTTGTGACGGTTCTATCTTCTGCCTCAACCCTGGCTGTCATTCTCTGGCATGTATGGAACCTCTCCACTGTCCAATAACGACACAATAAATTTTTTTTACTAAGTTTCCATATTCAACCTTGTGAATATATGTATATGCTTCAAGGGGCCTTTACAGGTTATATAGGGCATACAAATGGATCAAACTTTTTTTTCTAAACTCTGAACATCTGCAATATCAATATAAACAATTCCTGTTCGAATGGTCAACTTTAGATAGCCCTCCATTTAAAAAGAAATACAAGGTAGTCTTACTTAATACTCGATTGTGTTACATGGTTTTTTTATTTTAAATTACGTCATATACAAGGTAATAAGAGTCATGATATTCACTTCAGGACCTCAAATTATACTTGAAAACTAAATGGAGGCAAACGCCGCCTGTCGGTTTTTCCACCTGTAATTCCTCTATCTACAGACGGTAAGAATATATATAATAATAAATATATAAATAGTCGCCACGATGTTTCACGATCCACAGATGGGATTTTCCCCATGACAACTGCTCAAAATTTTTAGATCATTGCAATGTAGTGGAACATGTGGAAACCAAGTTTTAAGTTTAACATTTTTTTACACCAAGCCAAAATAAAATAAAACTTTCCTTTAAATTTTTCAAACGTCAGCCGCGAAATAAAAATAACTCATGAGAGACCCTTTCATAAATCTGTTGTGGAGCATGGACAGAAAATTTAGCTTGTTGCATCACGAATCCGCAAATTAGCTGCATAAGTAGCCCCTGCTAATGCTAGCATTAATTAATCAAACATAATAACCCTTTCAGGATTTGTCCCAGCAATGGAAAGCTGCATATAGTCTCTTTCGTCAAATGTTCATTTGCTAGCAGGCGAATAGACAATTTTCTAGAAAAATAAGTAATACTTTGCCAGAAACGAAACATTTAGTTTCCAATTACAATTCCATAGCTGCTAGCTAACTGAGACACATGTTAAACAACTTAGCAAAGCTAATGCTCATACCTAACAAGGACCGAGAATAAAAACAAACTCACACCAAATCAATTAAAATCTATAACAAAAGAGAAAGGATAACGGTTTAATGTGACCACGTTAAAACTTACATGAAGTCAGTAGATAAGGGTACTCTTCTCCCTCCTTTTCGCAGGTGTGAAATCAAAGTGGATTAACTCGAGGCCTGAATCGACTAATTGACGGATGGTACCTGCCCTCGGAGAGCCCCATTGGATGATTAAGAGATTATGAGCCAAGGCATTGGTTTACTTGCTCTGTCAATCTTTATCCCATAGAAAAGTGTGTTTTTGTCGCCCTCTGGTGAATGATACCGACGTTTTGACGGTACCCCGGTTAGGGCGGCCAAATGCACTTCATGCTGTTTGTTTTACCTGTGATATTACAAGTAAAATAACTTTTTGGAGCTTTTTCTTAAAGATAATTTGCCGTGGCAGATTTTCAACTTTAATTTGAACAGTAACTGTAGCCCATTACAGACACCAAAACCTCGTATGAGCCATTATACATCTACAATCTGCATGAACAGATATTTCTGAAAAACCTTTAAATGGGAAGTGAAAGTATAATTGAAAGTATAAGTGTCTAACAATAATAGCAAGCGTGTATGAGTGTCCATAGAGGTTTGGTTTTCAGGTCACTGACCAAACAGACAGTTAATTTTGCGCTTCCTTGGATTAATCACTTCAAAGTTCTTAGAGGTTTTGGGGTGATGACTTTGTGCTTGCCCCTGGTCTCTGCGAGAATAAAGTAGTCAGCATGGCAGTATGTCAACTTTCTTTTTGTGCCAATATTTGGACTTTTAGCTCCAAGACTTAGAATAAATAAGAGCAATAATTGTACAGGAGGATTAACCTTTGCGTGTTAAGAAATGTAATCCAAAGAAACCTTTTCAAACATTTCTTTCTCTTTATTCTGGTGAATTCTGTGTGTAAACACAAAATGCCAGCACTTAGTGAACATTTATAATGAACCTCGAATCAGTTAATTAAAATTTTTAAATATATGTTTGCATGTAAATAAACACCTATGTGTCCCTATTCAGTAAGTTTGTTTTCTTAACCATGAATAGACAAAGTTAACCTATTCAATTTAAGTTTGCTGTGAAAAAGAATTAGTTGCCCTGTTACAAATTAACTGCTGGTAGAAACCTGTGTACATAGCATATAACTCTTCTTTATTAAGCAATGTTGGATATATCTGTCCATTTTCAATAGACAAATAATTATTCAACAAATAGATATAAAACATCCATCCATTTTCAATACCGGGTTATTCTAATTTAGGGTTGAAGTGGGGCTTGACCCTATCTCAGGTTTCATTGGGCAAGCAGTGGGATAGACCCTGGGCATTTCAACAGTCCATCACAGGGTCACACAGATACAAATGACACAAACATGCACACTCACAATAGACTATTAAACATATCTGAGGAGATAGTGGTTACTTAAGAGAAACAATCAACATTCTGCGGCATAGTGTAAATTGGCTTCAGGCACTGAGGAAAAAAACAAAACAGATAAGAGTACACTTTTTCTGTGACCTGGTACTTGTAAATAAATTAGTTTTTCTCTTCTGCTTCTCACCTACGTTTTGTCATCATGATCAAATTACCTACTTGTTGTCAAGCTTCCGCTCAGTGCTTGACCGTCTCCTTTTATTAAGGTCACGTACGTAAAACTTCAATTTGCTGACAAGAAAACAAGATAAACTGCGTCTATCTCTTTCTCGGCCCATGAAGAGGGGTGTTCTCGTCCTGCCTGCCTTCAGCTATAATCCATAAGTAAATGATGCACCCTTGACTTAAACTTACTGACATGTTAGTCAGTTTCAGGGTGTCCCATCAGAAAAAAAGCTGCTTAGATGAACCCAGATGGGCTGTATATATTAACATCACCTAAATACATAACTGAGAGGTGTTAAATCACAGGAGATCGTTAAAGATTTGATTACATATAGCCTTAATACTGTGAAAGGACATTCTTTCCTCTTGTTTTGGTTTCACCAAGCACCATTTAGATGGGATCCAACAGGAAAAACAAGACAAAAAACACATGCATCCACATGGGGCTTGTTTAGTAGACAATGTCTTTGTAACATGGTATCCAAACAGGCCACGAGGGATTTAGTGAGCAGGATCAAAATGTGTTTTTTATTTTTGAGTCTATTCCAGTGATTGGATCAAACTGTCATGTTAGAAAGCGCACAGTGGTTTTAATAAAGGAGCACATTTCAGAGTGGTATTTGAGTGCACACAAATCAAACACACCAGTTTGAACAGAGCCTGAACAGACTCCTGCTCGATGCCTGCAAGCTGCACGGACTCATCCATGCACACAGCTGGACTACATGGATGGATAACTGACCAGGCCCGACAGGCAAAACCTCCTTTTGAAGTGCTGCTGCACAGACATTCCGAAAAACTAAATTGGAAAAAATAGCCACAAACTTTTCTTGAACCCCAAAATATAGCCATTTTGTAGCCATCAGTTTTTTAGGCATTTCCTTCTAATACCCCTTTAATCACTGGACAAAGAGAGAGGAATGAAAGCGACACTGATATGATATTAGTGCCAGGAACTTACCCCAGAGGTTTTCAACAGAAGAACGCTGGCCCACTGCTTCCAACTGGTAATATTGTTAGCATAAAGCGGCCAGGTTTCCCTGACAGCGCGAGGCCGAGCATAAACTGCCAGTGGTCATTGTCATTTATCTGATGTGACAATCATCACTGACCTGTCAGTCACAAATGCGAAGATTCTAATGGTGACTAAGAGGCCAGCGCAGTGGTGTTCTGGGTGGCGGGCTGTAGAGCAGCTATGACAGGGAGGAGTTGTGGGAAGCTTCGCTGGCCACTCCAGAGCCAGAGGGGACAAGCATACCACAGCTGTTGTTGCTTGGACAGTGGTGGACGCCAAAGCCTGAAAAGATTTTGTATGTGTCTTCCTCCACTGCTCCGAGCTGGACTTCCCTGTTTGATTTGTGCTTTCATTTGAGGAACCATATAACCGAGAGCATGTCCTCGGCAGAGGAAATTTACTTAGAGCTAACAGGTTTTCATTGACATTTTCAGTTCTATGTATAAGCACTTGTTTGTGATTGATACAGAAATGCCAGGGGGTTAATTTTCATTTTTGTTCTTCAAATTCAAGGGGCATGTGGGAAAAATTGGATGGTTTTTCAAAGCAATTTTTTTAGGCTTTTTCTATCCTTCAAGTATGACTGAGCTGTGGTTGTATGGAAAGACCATATTTATCTATATTTAGCTTTTTTTTTAGAGTGTCTGGTACTTGTTTTTCTTAGCTCAGATAAGGGAAATCAAACTAACCATTGCTTTTTATCAGTAAAACCTACAATGTATTCCAAAGTCAGTATTCATTTCCTTAAATGTATCTGTCCTAGTGCTTAAAATCCCCCCAAACCCACGGTGCTATTTTTAGTTTGTATATCTGGTGTCCGCGAAACCCTTTTTGTGGTAGGCAGTCTCATGCGTCCTAACTGATGCGTCACACGGATAGGTGCGGTTTAACGAGCTCAACCCCACGAATAGAAGCCCACGTATCTGTCGAGAGGATGCACTCAGAAGGTAAAGTCTTCATAAAGTAGCTATATCCTCCCACTTTTTTTTTTTTTTTTTTTGCCTTTTCAAATCTTGAGAGCATTTTCCTACAGGACAAGGCAATGTATCCGAATGGCACATTTGTTTTAACCGGATCATTAAAAAAAGAAGAACTAGTCGACAACTCCAAAGACTTGTTGAAAACTATGATGTAGTTTAACTGACAGGCTTTCGGTCTAACATCACCGGACAGCAGCCGAGAGCAGGTTACACACATCCAAATATGCGCGTAATTGGAGCGCACTGGCGAGGCGTCCCTTGCAGCCCAGTCGGAATAACATTGTCGTAATGTTCAATACTTCAGGAATTGAGCTCACTTTTAACAAGAAAGAGGATATTTCTGAAGTTAGCAATGGCTCTCTGCTGCTTCTCTACAACGTCCTCGTCACCAGCAGCCCCACAGCTATGTGGAACGAGTCGTGCGGGGAGCAGCTGCTGGACTTCGGGCGTCCGGAGAAGATCATCATCGGGATGATGTTGGCGATTATCACGGCGGTCACCGTGATGGGGAATACGCTGGTGGTGATCGCGGTGTGTGTGGTGAAGAAACTAAGACAACCTTCCAACTACCTTCTGGTGTCCTTGGCGGTGGCCGATCTGTCAGTGGCCATAGTTGTCATGCCGTTTGTCATTGTGACAGACCTCACCGGGGGAAAGTGGCTTTTTGGGGAGGTGTTTTGCAACATCTTCATCGGCATGGATGTAATGTGCTGCACTGCCTCTATCATGACTCTGTGCGTGATCAGCGTGGATAGGTAAGCGTCCAAAGTTAATGGACCTGATTTGAGATTGATAGCTGCCCAGTGGGGAATGGCACCACATTTACGCACACAGTGTGCCATGTTTAAAATGGCTCTTAGACGTGATGTATTTAATTTTATGACCACTTTAGCACTTTGGAGTAAGAGGGAGATCACATAACTATGCGTTTAGCACATAAAAAATACCTTTTCGGTTTAAATGGACATTTAAAATCGAAATTCCATATATGAAGCGACTGAACCGGAAAATGAATACCCAGACCGTGATTAATGCATGGCAGGCTTAATTCATTGCCTCGACCTGCCATTGACCCATTGGCTTTACAGCTGCTTTAGCTTTTACAGTTGAGTTATCATAATCCCACTCAATTGTTTATACAGGCCATAACTGTTGTTTATTTAGACATCCCTTAAAAATAAGACCTAAGCAATAACATGTGGGATGTCACATTAAGAGCTATAAGTTAACTTCCATTTAAAGGCCTATGTGTTTTTCTGTAGCACTTCATTCATAAGTATGACATTTACTACACTCATGCATTGCATCCACACATTGCTCAAAAATATTAATGAAAGTCCCTCCCTACAAGTGCCCAACAGCTCGTTGTAGTCAATTCATATTCAAAACAGGGCCTATAAAACACGAACCCCACCCATTCAGACCCCTTTCGATATCTCAGGGAATCTCTGGAGTCTTTTCCCAGAATACCAAAGCTGAGCTTGATTGTATGTGACAAACAACATGTTCCCACTCAAATAGAAATAAACAGGAGGGGATTGTTGCACCTGTGCTGCCCCCGTACCTAGAGTGGAAACAAAAACTCATTTAGTATTGATGATCTGATTATTTCCTCCCATTTGCCTGTCACGTATTTCCACAGAGCCTTTTGCCATAATCAGGGTTGTATTTATGAGCTGAGCATGGGGTGGCTTAAGTATGCTTGAAGGAGTAATGATGTTATGGGAAGAACTGGATCACAGATATCATGCTGGGGAAGTGAGGTTGCTCCAGTCAGTCGTGTGTAAATCCATCAAAGGTATGAATGGATTTTGGGCTGGTCAAGTGGAATGATAAACAAGAACGAAGCCATGGATATGGATTTACAGATGATGTTGAATTTGGTATGATGTTTTTACTGACAGCTTGAACTCCATGGAAAAAGACTCATCCTATTAAACAATGATGAGTGTGTTTGGCATATGATTCATAATGGGATTAGTGATAATTCATTAGGAAGGAAATTGGCAATTAGACACATCATTAGGTATAATAAAAGGTTTCTGGTAGTCTTCTACCATTCCCAGGGGCAAGGTTTGTAAAGTGAAGCTGAAGAGCAGGTGTGATGCAAATTAGAGAGAGGACTCGAAAGAGGAGTAGTTAAGGGTTAAAGAGCCCACTCTGCCTATGAGTGCTCTGTTGCAGACATCAAGCGTGATTATAAGAAGATTTAGTACCGTTGCGTGTGGAATGTGAAGCCATTAGAGGTTTTTCTCAAAGATACTGCTATCTATAAGCCTGCCATCTATTAAACTTATCAACACTGATTTGGGCTAAATTAGTACATCAAGCTTTCACACAACTGTCTTTGTTGTCACAGGCACAAGGTAAACATAGAAAAATGTTCTGATAAACCAATATTCTCAATCGAGAGGCCCATTTTTGGCTGTAATATATTTCTGCAGTGTGTAATCAAACACCTATATCTTATAGTTTTTTACTCTACCTTGTGAGAAGTATTAGAAAAGCATGCAATAAACTAAGCTTTGTGCTCGAAGGCCTGGTACTGTTGTGGGTACTCTGTCTTGGAAAGGGCATCAATCAGAGTGGACAAAATACGATGGCACGAAAACAACAAGTTGTTTGTTATTTCATTCTGTTCTTAGCTTTGTAGTGTTTTTGCTGCATTATTCTCTTTTTAGGGGATTGGTTCTTGCAGCTTTTGAACCAGCATTTGGCCAGTCTCTGGCCACATCTCTGAAGTCCACACACTGATAGTTTTTTGGACTGCATATCTTGTCTGCCTGTGTTGATAACAAACCCATCTGCTGAGGCAGAGAATGATAGAGACGCTCCACGCAAAAATAAACATGCTCTTAAAAATGTCACTATGTTTAGCAGAAAAGGTACACATACTGCCTGTGACCCCGTACGGTTGCTTCCTTTAGCCATGTTGGTAGCTCAGCTCTTGTCTACGAAAATTCAAAAGTCTGACTCAGTTGTTGTAAGATGCACACAGAGTCATGCTGTTTGTGCAAATACAGTTCAAAGGACTTGTGATAAGAAAATGCATATTTCCTGTTTCAGGAACATGCAGAAGAACATTTCTTCATGTGGTTGGAGCTGTCTTTTTTTCTTACTCTAGACTGACAACAACAGAGGATGTGTCAATGTCCTATAGCCATTTAAAGGAAACTGATGGCTCTGTTGAGTGTGTCAAAGTTGCTCATTCTTTCTTTCAGGTATACAAAAGCAGGCAGTATGTGCTATACTTTTTGGGTTCATGGTATTTTATCAGCGTGCGTGAAAACTACTTGTGGACATTTTGAATTGAACTGAATCTAAATGCACAAAAAGGCATTTAACATATTGAGGAAAGTGAAAGGACCTTTTACCTATTGCTTGTTTTCTTTTTGCAATATGCTTGAAATCCTGTCTGATATAGTAAAAATGTCTCATTTAAAGTGTAAATGTACTTAGTGATTTACACCCAATAAAAGAAGACTCAGGCTGTGAACGTTGAACAAAATGTTCTCTTCATCTTCCTGAATTGTCGATTATTTTATGACTTTAATAATCCTGGAGTGCCTTTCAGTGTTGTTTTTCTTTTGCTACTTATGTGAATACTAATTTATCCTTTAGAATATGTTGCTTATAGATGAGCTCACGTTAACCTTCGTTCTCTTTAATTACTCAGTCTATGCAGGATGTTTCAGTTGAAACCACAAAGCTATGATACAGTCACAGCAAAGGAGTTTAAATGTTGCTAAACTGATCTATGAGAGGCAGCAATATAACTACATATAATTTCTTCATTGTATTCCCCCATGAACTATTAAAGGCTGAGCAGGCGACATCCACATTACATTAAAAATATCCCTATTGGCTGCAGTCAGTCTTTACCTTCAGTAAGAGTAATATGCTGTATGTTCAATAATGCAAAACACAAATATGAAAGATTAATTCACAACGGGGGGGGGATGAGGGTAGTCCCAACTCTGTACTTCATCAGATATCTAAGAGATATCTAAGAAAAGACGTTGCTGAAAGATCGGACGGGCTCCATATGGCATGAGATGCTTGTTAAATTTGCAGTGCAAATTTCATCCGGTTCAACTGTCAGTGAACCTACGGGAGATGGACGGGATGTGGGCCAACGGGAAATGTCACGTTACAACAGCGAAGTAAACTTTTCCACCGGGGATCCGACTGGAGAAAGTGCAGCGTAGGTGTGATCACCTGGAAGCACCTGCAGGGGATGTGATGGGGAAGAAATCAGACAAGTTAGAGGCTCTCACTGTGGAGCCGGCAGTGGGCCGAGCCATTGCCTTTTCACATCCTTTCTGTCAGCCGGTGTGTCGCTGATGGGTCGAATTCACACACACACAGCTCCCACAACGACCTTCCCTCCACATCTGAGAATAGTTTTGTGAGGTCGCTGTGTGCATTTGTCCCAGGAGAGACGTGCCTGGGCTTAGTGCAGCTGGGAAACATCCACCCGCAGCAGCAGACACAGATGACTTGACCTAGGTGACGCATCCTGTGGTAATGTGATGTGACGCCTAAGCCCAGCTCTCTCAGGCCGCGCTCGCTTCCCACTTGTCGGCCCGTTCCACTGAAACATGGAGGATTGAACTTCCTCTGCATGGCTGGCGGGATCAGATTAAAGACACCTCCTGCTTGTGAAGGACCATTTAATCGGGACAGAAAATGTGTTTTTGGTCCTAAATGTGATGTCACACTGAATTCTTAAATCCTGTGATCTCTATCAGTCTGAGAGGAGAACTAGACTATGTCTGTTTAGTGACCTGAACACATTTCGTGTTACAAACCATTCCATCTTTTGAATGCAAAGCAGGCAAGCCATTATTTTAGGAGGAAGCTGACATTCAGGATATTTCATATCATGATAAAAAAACTGTAGGAGCATAGAAAAGGTGCTGTCATAACAGCATTAAATCAATATGGTTGGAGCAGGTATCTTAAAAGTTAATCATTAATTAGGGGCAGCTTGTAATGTCATCCGCAGCTGTTTCTATCCTGTTTGACTTTTTATTGTCTCATGTCTGAGACAAATTATCTACTGATCATGTGATTATATCTGAATGTTTGTGTGTGTGTGCTTGCGGGAATAGACCCAAAGAGGATTAAGATGACTGAGAACAGACAATCAGTGGCAGGAGAGTAGGATGATAGCGGAGGCTTGTTCTTTATCACAGTCTGATTGTCCTCTGGTGATCTCTATTTTAGGCGATTGCATTTCAGACCTTTGTCAGGGGCGAGTTTCCTGCAGGCTTTTCTCCTCTGCACTTAAGGATATGAACAAATTCATCTGCAGCTGCTGCAAATTCATCAGTCTGTCAGGTGTGTCTTTGCCATTGGTAGAATTGAGCCTTCTTTTATGTTGTTATATGAATTGCACAGGGAAAGTTTGTGCCCGGTCGACCTCCTAATGGCACGTAAAATTGCAAGGGGCTAATGTTTTTTAAATGTTATTTTCCGTTACATTAGTCATTATGAGGTGGACCATGCAGAATCCCTCTCACTCCTTGGGGATGGGGTGGCAGAAGCCCGGGGAGTAAGAGGATCCTGAAAAATGTCATAGCTCATGAGCAGGAGGGCTTCACTCATCAACATAGAGACTTCAAATGCTGTACGTGTGTATGCATGTCTGCTGGAACCGCTCGAGCAGTCTGACAGCCACAATGGGACCACTTTGGACTTCACCTTCAGTATCTTGTCCAGTTTATTTGTTCAGCCCCTGACGTGTCCTGAT